CCACACCATTTCTGGTGTGCCTCTGACTTCCCTGTCTTTAAGTCAGGTGATTCCTCTTCTCAGGACCTCAGTGGTCCCTGTGGGCCCTCTCCTTGGACTTCAGGACCTGCCACATTCCCAGTGATCCAAGGTCAGGTTAGGATGCAGAATCCAGAAAGAATGGCCACGCGGGCTCTGTCTGGTAGACAGCCACAGCTAATGTACTTCCTAGGGAAGACCGAACGTTCTCCTCCTAGGATCAGGAGCAAGGCAAGAATTCTCAGTCATCGTTTCTGTTCAGCACAGGTTCTAGCCAGCACAGTTAAGGATGAAAAAGAAAGGAAAATGTATCTGGGTTGTAAAGGAAGGTGTGAAATCCTGTCTATTGCGTGCCTCTGTATACATAAATCCTAAAGAATACAGACACACAGACTATTAGAACTAACAAATGGGCAGTGTAACCCGTACACTAAATGCTAGTGATGAACAACCAGGAAGCGGAAGAGAGCAGCCCAGGCTGGGTGGGCTGCATGGCAGAGGGCTTGCCTGGCATGCTTGAGGCCCGGGGTTCCATTCCCAGGACTGCGAGGCGGGGGGGGGGGAACAGTTCCATTTAACATAAAAACAAAATGTAAATAAAGAGAGGCACAAGATTTGTATATTGAGAACTATAAAACAATACTGAATGAAATTAAAGATCTAAATACATGAGAGAATATTATGACAACAATAATTCCTGCATTGATCTATAGATGCAGTCCGATCCCTGTAAAATTCTCAGTTGGTTTTCTCAGATAAACAAGCTGATTCTGAAGTTGCTATGGAAATGCAAGGGGCCCGGGTAGCCAAGACAGTCTTCATAAAAGAGTGGATAGATTTACTCTGCCTGATTTAAAACTGACTACCAATCCTCAGTCACTAAGATGTGTGGTGCCAGTGTAGGGACAGGCATAAAGATCAGTGCATTGGACCCTGGAGTCCAGAAGTGAAGCTCCACATTTATGGGCAGCTCATATTTTTTAAGAGTACTAAGATAATCCAGCAGGGAAAAGAATATTCTTTTCAACAAATGCTCCTGTGTCAAATGTATGTCCATGTAATAAATTTGAGCCCCTTACACCAGGCACAATAAAGTATAAAGCTAAGATTTAAAACTATAAAGATCCTATAAGAAAACACCAGAGTATATTTTGGTGAGCCTGGGTTATGTAGTTATTTCTTAGATACAATGCTAAAGACATAAGCAATAAAAAGTAGGCATCATCAAAACGTAAAACTTTGTTACTTCAAAAGATGCCAGCCAACGCCATGGAAAGATGACTTTACAACTCTAGAATTGCAGCAAGCACTTGGTAATATTAGTGTCTGACAGCCTTCTGTCCCGTGTGCAGTGTCCCATGTGCAGCATTGCGTGTGTGGCATGTTGCTGGTTCCTGCAGCAGCCTGGAAAGAGGATGACAATCCCTCTCCTCTCTCCATCTCCAGCATTTGACAAGAAACTAGTGGTATCTAGAATATGTAAACAAATCATGTCAGGCATGGTTGTAATCTGTAATCCCAGTACTCGGGAGGCTGAGGCAGGAGGAACACTGTGAGTTTGAGATCAGCCTGAACTACATAGCGAGACCCTGTCTCAACCAGAAAGAAAATTTTACAACTCAATAATCAAAAGACAAATATTTAATTAAAAATTTGGCAAAGGAATTGAATGGGCATTTCTCCAAAGAAAACAATCAAATAGCACGTAAAAAGACACTCAGTATCATTAGTCATTAGGGAAATATAAATCAAACCCCCAGTGAGATACTGCTTCATCTCTTACCAGGAAAGCTATAAACCGGGAGGCATATATGAACAGATATGGTCCAGGATACAGGGAATTTGGAAGCCTCATGCATGGCTGCTGGGATATAAATTCAGGCAGCCATCTTGGGAAAATAGTTTGGTGGTTCCTTGAAATACCAAACACAGTTACCATATGACCCAGAAATTTCATACCTAAATGAAATGAAAACATAGACCCACACTAAAACTTATGCATGGCTATTCATAGTAATATTTATCATAATAGCCCCCAAATGAAAATAACCCAAATATATAAAAATTGATATTTCTACAATGAAATACTATTTGGCAATAAAAAAGAAATGAATTGATACATGTTACAACATGACCAAACCTGGAAAGATCATACTAAAAAGAAGCCAGTCCCAAAGACCAGCATATTTTATGAATCAGTTTAAATGAAGTGTTTTGCATAAGCAAATCTATGCAGACAGAAAGTAGATTAGTGGTTGCTAGGGCTGGGAGGAGGTTAGGGATGGAGAGCAACTGCTAATTAGGATAGTGGAGAAATGACCTAATGATTGTGGTAATAGTTGAACAACTATAAAGTACTAAACTCCCACAACTCTGCACAGGAGGTGAGTAAATTACACGGGTGATGTGGTTGATGAATTGCAGGCCAATAAAGCTGTTATTGTTTTGAAGGCCAGGGTATCCTGGATGGCATGGGGTGAGGGGGGACGAAAAGGTGAAGACCAGACGCTTGTCTTGCTCCGATTGAGTGGCCAACTGTGGCTCTTAAAGAACCGGAGGAGGTGTCCGTCAGTCCTGGAGCAGATCCAGGGGTCTTTGTGCGCTATTTAAAGACACACTGGGGCTGAAGCTGTGAACGCAGCTCAGAGGGAGAGCGGAGGGAGTGCTCGCTAGGTCACGCGGGTCCAGTGTCCCTGCCCAGGCTTAGCGGGCTCCTCGCGGAAGCACAGAGCTCCGGAGCTCCTGAGTCTTGCCCAGGAGCGCAGTGCAGCGCACAGCTCACTCCTCCTCCGTGTGCAAAAGAAAATGCCCACGTTTGCCCTTTATGATTCCTATGCTGTGTGCATCCTGCTCTGTCCTATTTCAGTCTTTAATTTTTATTATTTTGTGGTACTGAGAATTGAACCTGGAGCCTTTACACTAAGCTATATCCTTAGCCTTAAAAAAAAAAAACAAACAAACAAACAAAAAAAACCTCTGAGACAGGATCTGTCACTAAGTTGCCCAGGATGGGTTCAAACTTGTGATCTTCTTGCCTCAGCCTCCCATTAAGTATTTGTAGCTCCTCATGACCCAGAATGCTTCTGTGTGTCTACTTGTAGATCCCCAGGGCGCTGCACCCAGCACATACCCCCTGTGCCCTTCCGTGTGCCTGGCATGCAGGAGGCTGATGCAGGCATAGCCCCTGCCCTGATGGGACTTAGAGGACTGGCCCTACTCTGGGAAGCAGAAATAGTGTGGGGAAAGCATGAGGTTGGGGTTGGGGCAGAGTTTGAGCCAAGTTATGCTCACTGTCACGTGCACATGCATGTGTATGTGTAGGCCAGAGGGGTGGCACTGGGGTTTCATACGTGCTGGGCGGGCACTCCACACTGAGCTGCATCCCTAGCTGTGTAGTAGTCACAAACTTTTTACTAGTAAAAAGTTGGAAAGTATTAAAATGCCTAACTGTTAATGATGGACTAAACAAATTATGGTAATATTGTTTGTGGTAATATTGTTAGCTTTTTAAGATTAAAGCTTAAACTGTGCATGGTGGTGCATACCTGTAATCCCAGCACTTGGGAGGCTGAGGTGGGGGGATTGTTGTGAATTTGAGACAAGCCTGAGTACAAAGTGAGCTCAAGGCCAGCCTGAACTGCATAATAGATCCTGTCTCAAAAAGATAAAAAATAAAATTTAATCATACATAAAAACTTAAGAGACTTTTAAAATCGGTACTGGGGATCGAACTAACAACTGTGCTTATCAGCAGGCACTTATGCACTGAGCTAAATCCGTAGCCCCAGAAATTTAATCATAAAGGAAAATGTTTAGGCTAAAAATTCTGGTTTTAATAAAAGAGAATATCATACTATGCATAGTATAATCTCAGCATGTAAGCCATAGGAGAAATACCTGGCGTAAACTATGCCAAAGGCTAACCTTAGTTCTCAGGATGGCAGAATGGTGGGGGCTTAAGAGCTCTTTGAACTATGCTCTCTGCCTTTGTATCTTCCTCCTCAATTTTTCTGCAGGGATCTTGAATTACCTTTGTTTGTTTGTTTGTTTGTGGTACCAGAGATCAAAGCCATGACCTTGCATTTGCCAGGCAGGTGCTTGTACTGCTGAGCTAAAGCCACAGCCTATTTATTTATTATTATTGAGCCAGGTCTCACTGTGTAATTCAGACTCCGTGGCCTTGAGTTCACTATGCAGCTAGGCTGGCTTCGAATTCACAGTGATCCTCATGCCTTAGCCTCCCAAGTGCAGGAACAAAGGCTGTGCACCACCACATACAGTTTGAATTACTTTTCTCCTTGGTGAATTCCCCTTCCTTGCAGGAGGAAGGTCAACTGGCAGCAGCTGTGGAAAGGATGTAGGGTTTGAGTTGTGGATCTGGGTGCCATTTCCAGGGAGCTGAGGTTAGAAGAGCCCCAGAGCCAGTGCTGGGGAGGAAGCCCTGGAGGGGGGAACTGGAGCTGTGACCCTGGGAATGGGAGCATCTGAGACACCAAGATGGTAGACAGGAACATGCTGTGGAGGAGGGAGACCTCAGGCATGGCCTGGCTCCTCCTGGGGCACTGTGAGGTTAAATTTAAATGCATACAGGAAACCATGGGATCTGTGGGCTTTGGAGTCAGGCAGACTCATTCAAGCCAGTTCCCCATCTTCCAGCTGGGTGACTTTGGGAAAGCTGCCCAGCCTCTCTGAGCCTGTTTCCATCTGGTCAGTGGGGACACTATCATATCTCATATGACATTTGGATGAAATGGGATCATGCATGGAAAACACTTCCTTCAGCCTTTGAAGACAGATTTCTTAATGTGCTGATGACTGTTACTGTTTTCCACAGTTGCTGACATTAAGCAGAACACATCCGAACTGTAAGGAAGCAGTATTGTCTCTAACTTTTGAAACAGCTTTTCCTTGGCCTCTGGGTGCATGTTCTGCATTGCGACCTCTGGGATATTCACCTTGCCCTGTTTCCTGCTCCTACTCAGCCATCCCTGCTGCCACTATGAGGAACATCTTCAAGAGGACTCAGGAGCCCATTGTGGCTCCTGCCACCACCACCACCACCATGACGATTGGCCCTGCAGAGAGCACCAACTCCACGGAGAGCGGCGGGGCTGGGGAGAGTCCGGAGGACATGTTTGCCAAGCTCAAGGACAAGTTCTTCAATGAGATCAACAAGATCCCCTGTGAGTGGCCTGTGGGCAGGGCAAGGTGCAGGCACGGCTGGGCTGGGCTCTTTTGGAAAGCTTAGGTCTCAGCCTGGACCTTTGGGGACCTTTGGATTCTTTGGGGGAGCCCCTTGAGGAATAGGGGGGTGGGGAGACTGGACAGGATGAGGGGACTTGGTGGGGTTATGGCACCAACCTCGAAGGGGGAAAATTCCTTACAATTTAAACAACTGTCCAAAGATTAAAAAATAATGAAATAGAAATCACTATTCAGCCTTCAGGTTACATTTTGCAACTAGCTTATTTTGGAATATGAAAAATAGAAGTTTCTGCTGCCTTCTGAATTGCTGGCAAAGGCTGCTGAGTAGGAGACGTCAGGGTTGTGGGGGTGAGGAGCGGCTGCTTCAGGACCACGGAGAGCAGCCCCGCCCCGCCCAGCCCAGCCCCCACACACCTGAGCTACACGGAAAACAGTCCTGGCTTCTTCACCCAGAGTATGAAGGGCAGGAGCCTTTTTGTCTTGAGTCAGCCCTCTCATCTCATCCCTGGGCATCAGAGGTGGCACAGAGGGGCTCCTGGGACCATAGGTGTGATAAGCACTCACCAGCCTCTGGAGAACAAGCTCATTCTCCAATTCAAACTAAACTCCGTGGATTCCACCTAAAACTCTGCCTGCTCTCCCTCCGCAGCCCCAAGAGCAGAGGCGAAGGTGAGCGCAGGGCACTAGTGAAAGGCACCTGAAGTAAATGCACCCACCCCGCAGGAAGGCGTGGGTAGAGCTGTAGGGAGTGAGGGCATCGTGGGGAGTCCCGGCCTGGCCTGTGTTGGCCAGCACGCGGGCTCAGGCCGGCGGCGTGGCGTGCTAACTCAGGTGCCCCCTTCTGCGGGTAGTGCCACCCTGGGCTCTGATCGCCATTGCCGTGGTTGCTGGCCTGCTGCTCCTCACCTGCTGCTTCTGCATCTGCAAGAAGTGCTGCTGCAAGAAGAAGAAGAACAAGAAAGAGAAGGGGAAGGGCATGAAGAACGCCATGAATATGAAGGACATGAAGGGCGGTCAGGTAGGCGCGCGGGAAGGGGAACCCAGGCCAGGCCAGCCCTCCGAGGCCCAAAGGCAAAGCCAAGGCTTCTGGGCTCCCACAGCCTGCCTGGCTCCTCCTCCAAAGCCCACAAGTCCCTGTCCTCCGCCCCTCAAGTCTAGCGCTCCCTGCTCAGCAGCTCTGGGAAGGGGACTTGCTCACATGGCTCATCCTTGGAAAACAAGGGAGGGAATAGTATGTTAATCCCCAAGGAGGCCATTGGAACAAAATGCTGACAGATGGCCCACTGTCACCACCAAGAAGCCACCACTGGGGGAGCCTGTGCTCTCCTGGCAGAAGAGGCTGAGAGACAAAGGATGCCTACTTGGAAGCAACTGGTGGGTGCGGGGAGCTGGGCAAGGCAGCTTTGAGGGGGCCCGTGTGGAATCACCACGCCTGGTATTCTAACCTTAGGGACAGGTGTTTTTGGTGTTGGTCATCCTAGAAAGACCCTTCGCTTTTTTCTTTTTTGGTAGTGCTGAGGATTGAACCCAGGACCTTGCACATGTTAATCAGGCAATCTACCACTGAGCCCCAGCCCCAGCCTTAGAAGGGTCCTTTAATATACCAGAGGTCTTCCTTTAAGTTCACAGAAGCCCTGGGTGCTTCACAGCCCCATGTCTGTTTGGGGATTGATTCTAAGAAATTTCAAAGGTTCAGTATGGAGGCGGAAGGGGCTGGTCTCATCTTGGCCAGGGTCAGGTGGCCTTCGAGAGCTTTCGTGGCATATGTGCATGTGCAAGCATGTGCATGGCCCCAGAAGGAGCCTGTGGTGTATGTGTGTGTGTGGGGGGGGGGCCGAGAGTGAGCTACCTTTGGCCCAGCCTGGGCTCCCCGAGTGGCTGTGACTTCAGAGACTGGTGTGAGCTGCGGGACTTTTTCTTATATTGCCTTCTTCTCTTTCTATCTCCGTGGACTTGCCTCTGTTTGTCTGGACTGTGCTTCCGGTATGTCTTGCCCAGGATGGGGAGGCTTGGGTGGAGACTGGCTTTGGGGGGCGAGTCCTCTACTTCAAGGCACTGCAGGGTACCGTGCTGCATAGTGCTGTCCCTGTGCAGGGGAGAGAGGCACCCCAGATCTGGAGCCCTGACTTCCACATGCAGGGTGGCGGGCTCCCCGGGGTCCCAATGGGCTGTGGGGCTCTGAGTCAGGGTCGGGCATAGAGGAGAGGGCTTCCTGCTGCCCTGGGGCTAAGCTGGCCACTCCTGATCCCATTTGACCTCTTTTCCCTTCCTCCTCCAAGCTCCATCAGGATGATGACGACGCAGAGACAGGCCTGACTGAGGGAGAAGGGGAAGGGGAAGAGGAGAAAGAGCCGGAGAACCTGGGAAAACTACAGTTCTCCCTGGACTATGACTTCCAGGCTAATCAGGTGTGGGGAGCTGGGCTGGGGGAACAGCGGGGTGGAAGACAGTCACTGTGTGTGGGTGTTGCTGCTTCCCATGGAGGGGGTGTATCTGTCTGGACACTGACCTGGGTGGCACCAGCCCACACTGGGCAAGGTGCCGGGTTCACTCTGGGGTAAGCTGCCCACTAAGCTTGTGCAAATCAGTTGCTTGCTTAACTTCAGGCTCCCCAATATCACTGCACATTCCTGGGTGCAGGAGATGCAGGCCAGCCTTGCCCTGGTCAGCACCCTGCCCCACCCTCCAGCTGTCACCTCTGGGGAGGCCTTGGAGGAGTCTGGGTCCCTGGCCAGCTCAGGTGTTGGAGCAGTGGGGAGACTCAGCCCCTTCCCTCCATCCTTCTCTCCGCAGCTCACCGTGGGTGTCCTACAGGCTGCTGAGCTACCTGCCCTGGATATGGGGGGCACCTCAGACCCTTACGTCAAAGTCTTCCTCCTCCCAGACAAGAAGAAGAAATACGAGACCAAAGTTCATCGGAAGACCCTGAACCCTGCCTTCAATGAGACCTTCACTTTCAAGGTGATGAGGTTGGAGGTGCTCCAGCCTCTGCCTCGTCCTTGAGTTCTTCAGGTCTTTCCCCGACCCAACTCAGTGTGGACCAGTGACAGGCTGAACACAGCCTCCCTGAAGGTCACTGCTGACCTCTGTGGAGGGTGGAACCCCTCCCATCCTTTGCTCACTCTCTGCCCACTGGAAGCCCTGCTGGGTCTTTCATTTGTCTCTAAGGATCCACTAGGAGTCCTGTGGGCCGGCCTAGGCCAGCAGCTTGCACACAGCGTTCCCTGGAGGTGCACCAGCCGTTCCCCTCCTTCTGATCTCTCTGTACCCTGCAGGTGCCATACCAGGAGCTAGGGGGCAAAACTCTGGTGATGGCCATCTATGACTTTGACCGCTTCTCCAAACATGACATCATCGGGGAGGTGAAGGTGCCCATGAACACTGTGGACCTTGGCCAGCCTATCGAGGAGTGGAGAGACTTGCAAGGCGGGGAAAAGGAGGAGGTGAGAGCAGGTTGAAGTCTAAGCCAGAAGAATGGGGTGCATTGCTGCTTGCCTGGACCCTCCTGAGCCTCATGGAGAAGGCAGGCATTAGAGCCAGGCCTCCCAGGTTAGGGTTTCAGCTCCACGCCACTGAGCTCTTGACCCTGGGCAAGTGGCTTAAACTCTTAGACTCTTTACAGATGAGGATGAACTGTCCATGTAGAGATGGTGTGGAGTAGGCAGTCAACTAAATCAGAATCCCGTTGTTACCCAAAATGTTCCAGTGTCTAGGGTCAGTGACTCCTGACTCTGTGCCTCAGTTTATCCACATGGAAGTTCACATTAGTTCTAAAAGAGTCTCAGCATGGAGGGTTGTCCTGGTGATTGCTACAGTGGGCATTTACTCATCAGATATTTCCAAGTGCCTGCTGTGTATTGAGAACTTCACTTTAGCCACTCTGTTTTTCAAGCTCTGGTTCTGTCTGGGATAAGGCTGTGGTGCTGCCTAGAGTGCTACTAGGCAGTGGTGCAGGGCTGAGGAGAGACGCACAGGGCATCCTTCTGGACCCTGCAGCTTTCGCTGTGTCCAGGAGCCAGGCAGCACCGGGAGGAGGATGGTGTGAGGCAGTCAGTGCCCAGGTCTGAGACCCTGGTGTGGGCAGAGACCTTAGGAGTCAGGAGTGCTGAATCCCATCCTGTGTCCCTCTGGGTGCCTCAGTTCCTCATGGGTAAGAACCCTTGCCTTCTTTACATGAAAGAGTGACAGTGACATCAACAAAAGAATAGGGGGTGAAGTGCTTTGAAAACTAGAAATCTGCAAGTGGATTGAGGCTGTGGAGAGATGGCAGGGGCCAGAAGCTTCCGATATTCTTGGTCTCCCCGGGCCCTTGGGAAATTACACTTGGCTCCTCCCAGTTCGTGTCCTGCCCACCTCACCTGGGCTGGGCAAAGGCCTGAACATGGCCAGCCTCTCCCAGCTGCGGCCATGAACTACAGCAAAAGCCCTTAGGTCAGGCGCTGAAGGGGACAGCGCTGCGAACCAGACTGGCAAGACCTGGCCAGTCACACTAGCGGGAGTGTGTGACTGAGATGACCTGAGCCCCCTTTCCCCCGGACAGCCAGAAAAGCTGGGCGACATCTGCACTTCCCTGCGCTACGTGCCCACGGCCGGGAAGCTCACTGTCTGCATCTTGGAGGCCAAGAACCTCAAGAAGATGGACGTAGGCGGCCTTTCAGGTACACGCAGTGCTTGTGGCTGCCATTGGGTGGCACCAGCGAGCCAGTCACGACTCCGCACCCCTGGAGTTTGCGTGGCCCACTGATGAGGAAAACAGCCCTACTCTGGGAACTGATGTCTCCCCTCAGACCAGGGGAGCTGGAGAGACCTTCCCACCCCCCTTACTCCAAGGAGCCCCTACCCCCAACCTGAGTACCCCCAGCCTTGTCCTGTGGCCTGTGAAGGGGAGGATCAGTGACACTTCATCACCCAATGGCGGTGTCTCAGAATTTTACTTCTGAGGAAGGGCAGGAAGTGGGCAGGGCTTAGCCTAAGTGTTTCTCTCTGCCGTCACAGCCACCATCTGGGCCATTTCAGGAGAGGCTGTAGGTTCTGCTGGCTGTGCCCTGGGAAGCGGCTCTGCGTGTGTGCTGCTCTGAGTTTTAGATTTACCTAGTGGTACAGACAGCTGGTCCATGGCACAGGTGCTGGCGAAGCCTCTGCCTCCAGGGTGCTTTCTCAGGGAACCAGCCCTGGGAATCGGCACTGGCTCTGTCATCGATCCAGTTTGTGGCCTTGTGTAAATCACTTCTCTTCTTTGCAAAGAGGCTTATATTAGGCCAGGGTGAGCACTGGACAGAGGTGTGCCCTGCCTAGTCCATTGTCACCAGTCAGTCCCCACACTCTTCCAAGGCCTCACCTAGATCCACAAACTGCCCTGGCAGGATCCTCTCAGGATCCACAACCAATAGGTCAGAGTTGTCCCTGAGGTGAAACATTTTGCAGTCCTTGAGCTGAACAACTCTTCTGTGCCCTTTGGATTTCCTTTCCAGTGCCTTGGGGCTTTGTGGGGACTGCTCTCAGCAGGTGAAGACCCTGTCCCTTGGAGGCTAGGGATAGGTCGGCTGCTCTGGGGCGAGGTAAGTGCTCAGGAGCCTTGGCCTGGCACTCTGTCTCCACAGACCCCTACGTGAAGATCCATCTGATGCAGAATGGGAAGAGGCTCAAGAAGAAGAAGACGACAGTGAAAAAAAAGACCCTGAACCCCTATTTCAACGAGTCCTTCAGCTTCGAGATCCCTTTCGAGCAGATTCAGGTGCTCAAGTCTTCTGGGTCTTAGGTGTGGAACTGAGTTGGGAGAGAGGGGAGCAAAAGAGTCCCCATCCTGGTGGGAGGTGGGGAGGGACAGGAAACTCGGCAGGACCACAGGACAGCTTCGGGAAGGCTTGGGTGCAAGAGTGCTGTGGGGGCCTCCCTCCCTGGAGCATCTTCTGAAGGGTTCCCCTTTCTGATGAGATGAATATGCACTAATTCCAAAACCTTCTGCACAATAGTCTTAAAGGATTTTGAAGTACATGGCCACGCACATGGGAGTTTGTGACACTAACCTATAGTTAGAAGTGACTGGGGAGGAAAGGCCATGCCTCCTCCATCTTCCCCTGACCACGGCCTGCCACAGCCATTCCTGCTCCACTGCTCCCAGCCCCGCTCCCACAGATGCCTCTCCTCCATGCTGACCCTTCCTGCCTTCTCTGCTCTTTTTCCATCCTGATCCTCCCTCCCTCCAGAAAATTCTGTGAATGTCAGAAATGATGTTGGTCTGTTGTTTTCTCCACTTTGCACATGGCTGGGATAGAGGAGGGCAAGAGGCCCCACTCCGTGGGACTGCAGGGAGATGCGGCCGGAGCCTTGCAGTGGGCTGGTTCCAGTTCTGGTTCTGTGAGGTCTCAGACTCTCCTTTGTAGTGAGCTAGTCCATCCACTTCTCCCCTCTGGAGACTGAAGGACCAGAGTGCCAAGGGAGTGCTCAGAGTTAGAGGTACCTGTGGGGTCATGCATGGAACCCATCAAGGGAACATCGGGCAGCTCCGCAGGAATGGGCTTCCAGGAGGAGTCTCCCTGAAGGAGAGCTCGAGGCAGACAGCAAACATGCTGCCCAAGCATCTCAAATCCAACATGTCCAGACCGGGGGCCTAAAACCTCTCTCTCCATTCACAGCCAGACCTGCTTCATCTGAATTGTGTTTTAGTGAATAGCTCCACCCTCTACCCTGCAGCTCGAGTCATACCTGCACATCATCTTAGCCCCCAATCCTTTCCCTTTCCTGAGCATTTGCCAGGCACTTGCCAGGACCTGGGAGCACAAGCGTGTAGAAGATGCAGTCCTGGCTCCGAGGGTTGTCACAGTGGGAGTGGACATGGTGAGATGACAGCTTCATTGAGCGTTAGGTAGAGGACTGTGAACAGTTGAGGGATGGCTTCCCTAGAAAGCTTTATCCTAAAGCGTGGTCTGAGTCGCCTGGAGTTGGAAGGAGAAGGGCACTGATTGTCCCCTCAACAGATCAGACTGGTTGCTAAGTCTCGATCCTCCCTTCTCAATGCCTTCCCAAACCCCTCCCTTGGTTTATGTCCTCTGTGTCTGGCCTGGTCTCCCTACTGCCCTCAGGCTCAGTCTTCCTCGAGGGAACCTGCCACCTTGGTGGTCTTCTTCCCAAGTTATCTATCCCACTCCTCTGAAAGGCTTCCGGCTGCCTGTCTGCAGAGTGAAATGCACACTCCTTAGCTGGCCCCAGCCCGGGCCGGTGACCTTGCTTCCCACCTCGTCGTCTCTCACGCCGCAGCTCCATGATTCTACATGTCCAGTGTTTTTCAGGCACCAAATGTATTCTCGTGATTCTTTCCTGGAATCTTTCCCCCCCTTTTCTCCTCTGAGGGAAATCCTCACCCTTCATGACATTCAGAGGCTGCCTCCTGTATGCAGCCTGCCCTGCTTGAGCCCAGCATGACTGTCACCCCTCTGAATTTCCATAGGACCTCATGCCTATCTCTCTAGCATAATAACCTTTATCACTTTGTGTTGCAAGTTGGTGATTATGTGTCTGCTCATCTCATTAGAGGTAAAAATCCATCTCGTCACTGCCTCCTAACAAGTGCTTAACGTTGCACGTGCTCAGCAAGTGCCTGATGGTAGAAACAGGTCTTCAAAGGCTGTGGCTTCTGCCTCTGTGTGCATCCAGGCTTCCCTGGAGCTAGAGAGAGAAGCAGAGGGTCCTGGGAAGCCTTCCCTTCCAACCATCTGAAGTGTAGTTTGTTGGAGTGAAGAGATTTGGTGATGAAATCACATAGCTTCACCTTCCAACTCCTCCCCGTTTTCTTTGCAGAAAGTCCAGGTGGTGGTCACTGTGCTGGACTATGACAAGCTGGGTAAGAATGAAGCCATTGGCAAGATCTTTGTGGGCAGCAATGCCACAGGCACAGAGCTGCGGCACTGGTCCGACATGCTGGCCAACCCCCGGAGGCCCATTGCTCAGTGGCACTCGCTCAAGCCCGAGGAGGAGGTGGACGCGCTTCTGGGCAAGAACAAGTAGGCGGCAACAGCTGGGACGGCCCCGGCGCCCTTCATGGACACTGACAAGATCCAGAGCTATCAATACCTCAGTTATGCGACCTTAGAGGTTTTGTTTGGTTTCCTTTTGTTTCTGGTTGTATACTTGTTTTTCTTTCTTCTCTTTTTAAAGACCAACTTTCCCTTTGATGGATGTGTGAGAGAGTCCCCTAAGAGGTAAAAGAGAAGCCTGGCTCTGTCCGTCCGTCATCCTAGGATCTGCCCGCTGCATGCCCTGCCATGCTGCCCCCTCACGCTTCCAGTGCTTCACTTGTTTCACCCTGAGTGAGGCACTCTGCTGACAGAAAGCCACAGCACTTCTGTTTTTGCACGTTTTGGACCAACAAAATGGTGGCACATCCTGTTTCCAGTGAAGGCAACACAGTGGCCAATGGGTGTGTGTATGTGTGTGTGTGCGCACGTGTGTGTGTGTGTGTGTGTGTGTGTGTGTGTGTGTGTGTGTATGTCTGTCTGTCTTTGAGTATGTCTCTAAGTCGTGGACAGTGAATCTGTGTGGGAAGAAAATCTCTTCAGGGACCTTGAGATGAACCCCACAATTTGTAGGAGATCTAGCAGCCTCTGGAGAAGGCTCAACATGCCAGAAGCTCCTACATTCCTCGTAGGTGGCTCTTTGGGAGGCAGTGAGATAAGGGGACTGGATGTGTCCAGAACTAGGACCAAACCCCTGATGCTGTCATAGACTTCCTCCTGTCAGTCACAGCTTCTCCAGAAGTGGAGTTTCTGGCCATTCATGAAAAAGAACTACTCACTAGATTGCTCAGACTCTCACAGGAACTGTCAGTCAGTTCCAGGATCTCACTCTACTGACAATGAATATCAACCTATGAAGAAGCAGAAGTCTTTTTATCCTGAAAGACCAAAATTAAAACTCCTGCATCATTCCCCCATCCATTGGGAAACAGATGCTGTCTCCCTCTCCAGAATATAAGCAGTGCAATTCCTTTGTGTTTTTTTCTCCATCGTGCTTTTGCTTCAATTTCTCTTTTAAGTGGAGCAACTTGTCTGAAGACATGTTATCTGTACAGAGCCAGAGAACTGTAAGAGACAGCTTAAATGTTCTTAGTTTCCTTGAGGTCCAGGTAAGAAGGGGATGGTAAAAGGGGAGAATGATGGACAGATGATGGAGAGTTTCTGGGCTGGGGTCCCTGGGATCCTTTCACTCCCATCCCTCGCTCTCTGAACCCTCTGCCATATCAGAGGGCTTGTAAGTAGCTAGAGTGGCTCATGGAGGGCTGTGAGGAGGCCCCAGCTTAATACTCATTAGGGAGTCTTTTTTCTATAAATGCCAAGATGGGCAGTGGAGGAAACCTTGCCAGGGTTTCTCCCCATGCTGTTGTACCATTCCCCATTCATCTCATCCCCAGCATTGATTTTAAAAAAGCCATATATATGTTAGTCAAGTTTGCACTTGAGTCCCCTTTCAAACCTTTAGCCTGGGCAGGAGAGTCAGGTCCCCATATGGCCAGAGGTCAACCCTTTTTGCCTCCCTTCCCTTAGCCTTTCTCTTCTGTCTCTTAAACCCTCAGACCCTTGCCATTTCCTTTCCACAGAAGACTCTCAGCTTCCCAGGAAGCCTGAGAATCACATTCCCTGCAAAGATGGCAGCACTTCCTGTCCTGCCCCATCTGGACAGCTTTACCTTCCTGTAGGCACCTGAGATGGAATGATAGTTTTGGGGAAGAATCAGGCTTAGAGATCCCACAGAGTGTCTTTTAATTTTATTAAAGAAGTGAGGAGGGTATTAGATTTTGCTTTGCCCTTTTATTGTTGTTATTTAAGTAGGGAGTGAGGGAACACCTCTACCAGAAAGAGACTGGAAAGCAAGTCTTGGCTGGCCTCTGCCTCAGAGACTGACCCTTCTCCTCCTTGCCCATGGTATATGGGAAGTCATGTATTTTATACACCCTGTGTTTGCATATCTACTAGGAAGACAGTACTGTAATAGAAATATAAGCTCTGATCCTTGGGACCAGAGTTGTGGTCATGGTAGAGAGTTGTAGGCCAATGGAGTGCCTTTAGAATCTGGGATGGCAGCAGAGTACCAGAGTCCAAGCATGGACATCAGGTGTCACTGGACTCCTCTTCCATCCCTAGGGCTGTGGGATTTTGGTGCTCTCTCAGGGTTCCCCCTAACCCACATTCCACAAACCCTATTCATGGAAACTTCCTGTCAGTCTCTACCTTTATGATTTAACCCTATTCTAATCAATCGCTTTCTACCAGCAGGATTCTTCTGTGTCCATTAACCTCATTTACTTCTCCTAAAGCTCAAGACTTGCCACTCCCTTGCTAGAGAAGGGAAGGAAATGGTAGGCCCCTCTGGTGGTTTGAGTGTCCTTGGCCTGAAATGGAAGCTGGGTTTTACTACTCTGAGTCCACCTCTGGAGGGCAGCCTGAAGGGGTAGGCAAGTTACTGAGACTTTGAGTCTGGGCACCAGTGTGGCGCTCATGTGGGTGCCACAAGCAGTTCTTTCCCCAAGTCCTGATTTGTTCTCATGAGCTACTTGAGCAGATGGCACCTGGCTAGGTCCACAGGCTGCAGGGAACAGAGTGATGCTTATAAATTTACTACACCTGAGGGCTGGTGAAACCCAAGCCACAGCATCACTCCAAACGCTCACAGCTGTGCAGGTTACTTCTGTGATGTTTGGGCCCTGGAGTGTCAGCATCAAGTAGGAAAGAGTTAGGGAGTCTAGATGGCTCTGGGGGTGTGAGTTGTCATCTCAAAGTCTGTTCCAGAGAGAGGAAAGTACTTCGTAGAGAAGTTTTTTATAGAGGGGCTGAGCCCAGGATAACCTAAACCTAATCCCACCCAGAAATGGGAGGGTGGTGGTGGTGTTGGTGGTAGTCATGGGGAAGCCTAAAAGCTTCGTTTTCTCCCTGGATAAGCATTCAGAAAGGATGGTAACTCTCCCAGAGCCGTGGGCAGCTATGTAAACTTTGGAAGCGGACGCCCAGGCCTGGGTGGGCAGAACGAGACAGTGAGCAGAGATTTGGTACGAGCGAACAATTTCCCTGGAGCCTCCTGGCTGGAGGACGGGACAGCAGGGACGAAGCCACCGTCTCAAATCCTGGGTTTCTCTCTTCCCGTATGGATCTTGAGTCTCTGTGGGTAAAACTAGCTCTCTTGTAAACCTGTGCCCAGGAAAGAGATGGGTGACAGCAGTGGGAGCACCTTTTCAGGGTCAGGAAGGGAGAAATCCCTTGTTTAACTTCCTATGCTAAATCTTTGGCTGGGCCTTACTTGATCTTTCTAGACCCGTCCCTGAGGGCGTCCATCCCTTCAAGTTAGACTGAGCCAGGAGATGCCCTCATTGCCTCTGGTCTGCCCCTTCTCTGTTCTTTCCCCTTTCCCACCTCCAGATGATCGGAGGCTTCAGAGCCACGGGTGGTGGAAGGTGGGGAGGAGTCCCAAGTCCTGATCCTGATGGTCCAGAGCCCACCAGGTTGCTAGATTTGGCAAATAAAAGTACAAGATGTGCAGTTAAATTTGAATTTCAGATAATAGCTTTTAAGTACAAGTGTGTCCTAGGAAATACTTGGGGCATAATGTACTAAAAAGTGATTCATCATTTATCTGAAATTCAGATTTAACCTGGCCAGCAGCCTGTGTTGTGTCTGGCAACTCTACCCTCCGACCACGCTCCCCCTCGCCCTCTTGGTCCCAGGGGGCCAGAGATTGGTCACCATAGATCTGGCTTTTCAAAATGCAATACTGAGAAGGGGACACTGTGACTTGAAGATACATGAATATACTTTATTTTTCAATTGACAACAAAACAAGAACCTTCTGAAGCCATTTGAGCCTCACCTGACCCCTTCCATGTGCGTTTAGTTCTATATAAAAGATAGTTATCTATAAACATATGAACAGAAGTCTTGTTTAATCAAGATGCATGTGTATACCTTTCTGTAAATAGCCGCATGGCAATGCTGGGAGTCTCCTTGAGTTCCCAACCCCAAGCCCATTTTACAGAACTGGTTGAGCCTGTTCCTTTGGTTTATGTTGTGTGGCGTCTCTGTCCCTAGTCTGACCCCCCCCCCCCACTAGGAATGCTGCAATGGGCACCATCAGGGGATGGAAGTTTCTGGCCCAGAGGCTGCCTCTGTTGGGAGATGCTGGAAGCCTGTGTTCCCAAAGGTGCATTTGTTGCACATCTGTCTGCAAAGCCATCCTTCAGGACACCACAGTGTGTCCAGTCTGGCATCTGTAACCCTTGTTCCTGTGTCCTGTGTATGTGTGGTGTAATTCCCTCCTTCCCACTGTCTGAACTAATTGAAAAGCCATAAAGGGGGCCTCTTCCTGCTGGAGACTGCCCTCGGCTCCTCCCAGGAGCTCCTGTGTCCCTCTGGCTGGCTCCCCACAGAACACCTGTGACAAGCCCACTTGGCATGACCCTCTTTTGCTCCCTTAGCCCGGTGCTATGAGGACAGATGGTGTCCAGGGCTTCTGGTGGGGCCTTAGGAGATGACCCTGGCTGGCTCTTTTGGCCTAAGTCTGATGACTCAACTCCATCTCATCCTGGGTGTGGGCAGGGCAGTGGTAGGGGCTCCTCAGTTTTGGATACATACTTGGGGGCTCTGGAGAGGAGCCCTGGGTTTTCAGGAGCAGCTAGCCAGTGGCTCAGTCTGTTCCCATTTAGCCTTGGGACTGACAGAACCAGGCCTACTTAGCATTTACTTACTGTGCCTGTCAAGGCCCCCAGAGGGTAATGGAGCAGGGACTCATGAGAAAAACCTTGGAGGAAAACCTTGGGCAGCACAGTGGGTTAAGCCCCTCCGACCTGCCATCCTAGTCTGATGGATCCCGCCCCAGAGCAAGGTGGGCCAGGGGACAGGTATGCACCAGGCTGTGCCTCACATCTGCTTCCAGGGCAGCCCAAGGCGGTGTGCCAAATCATGGAGAGGTGGGCAAAGGGCACTGAGGCCTTTGAGGGCTCTGGTCAGTATGGGGAACTGTGGTCCAGAGCCGGCAGCCCAGGCTTCTCATGGCCCCCTGGACACCTCAGGCAAGAGCGAGAACTTGAGAACCGGGGTGGGCACACTAGACAAGTCACAGCCAGCCAGGTGGGCGCTGCCCTCACAAACCACCATGCTGGGGCACACAGTCTGAGGAGTGGAGGGGACCATTTCAGGGCTGGCTGGGATCAGCGCCCCCTGCAGGGCCTCCCCCTCTCCAAACAGAACTGAGGCTGGGCTGGAGGGAGTCTGACCAGGTGTGTGGGGGTGGATGTGGAGCACTGAAATTTCTCCTCCATCCTCCTCAGTAATCAATCAGGGGTGCAGGCTTTCCCCTCAGAGAAGCCTGACCATTCTGCCCTGACTCCTGCTCACCTCAGGACTTGATTTGCTGCTTTCTGAAAACCCGGGGGCCAGAAAACATCAAAGTTAGGAGCAAAGCCTAGCCTGTCCTGATCCAGGTCACCCAGGGACTGTGTGGCCCCCACCAGGAGCTTCTTGTCTACATGAGGAGGACACTCAAGCCCTGGCCAACCCTTTCCCCTGCTTGGCAATGCTCTCCACCCCTTATGTGGACTCTGTTGTTCTTGTTGTCTGATCTCTTGTCAAATTGTTATTTTGTAATGAGCTGTGTCTCCTTATTAAAGAAATGAGCTGAAAGAAATCTGGGGGTGGGAGGGTGTCTCCAGTTTTTCCTGGGCTACGAAATGGGTGGGGGTTGGAAGAGCTGCCCCAAGGGTCAGCAGGGTACACGAGGATGGTGAACTGTCCGTGAGGCTCAGCACCACCCCATGGAAGAGGCAGAAAGGGCTGAGGCCTGTGGTGCTTGGGAACTCTGGTTGGGGGGTAGGGCACAGCACCCCACAGGAGGCCACATGCCAGTGCCACTGCTGTCCTGGGGAGGTGGGCTAGTGACGGGGAGGCTGGGGGGGGCCACATTCTTGCCTGCCTTCCAGTAGAGCTGGGCCTAGGGAATGACCATAGCATGGGAGTTTGAAAATTAAGGATTTCCATAAAGCCTTGAATTGTCCCATTGCAAAGCACTCCAAATGTCTTGTCCTCACCAGGCAAGGCCATCAAGGATGAAGGGCAGGGGTCTGGAATATTTAGGTGTGTGAGGCAGAATGATCACCCCAAGATTAGGAAAAGATTGGTGTCCTCTTCCACTTCCCACCCTGACCTGTCCCCTTACTTGAAGACCGGGGACACTCCAGGCCCAAATGCATGAGGAACTGGGTCCTGAAACATGTCCTGTGCCACTGCTTCGGTCCCTGAGGTTGTGCAGGCTGGATGGCTGTGAGGGACAGCACTGGGAGGGTCTCCTGGGTGACAATGTGGGCTGCTCTGCTGCAGCAAGGCTGTGCATGCTGTCCCCTGCCCCACTGATGTCACCATTGGTAACATTCTGCTTAGCCCGCACCATATCCAGTAGTGGACGCAGGACATTTGCATTCAAGGACCCCTGGTATTAGACATACTGCTTGGCCTGTAGCAGCCCCGCTCGAGCCCCAGGATAGTTCTGAACTCTTCAACCGTGACATCATATGTGGGTTCTGCTGCTAGAACTACAAACAGCTGGGTGACAGCAAGGGAAAAGAATCTTTCCTCCCTGACAGCCTCCAAGTCAGTGATTGGGGATTTCCGCTTGGCGGCACACACAGGGCTGAGCAGAGCCAAGGCAGGGCTTGCTGTACAGAGAAACCATATCCAAACCTTGGCTGCCCGAGGTCAGACCTGGCCACCCACCCACAAATCCTGCCAGCCTTGTAGCTCCTCCTTGGGCTGGGCTCCTTCATTTGGAGTTTAGATGTCACCCCAGGGACCAGCAAGTTAGCTGCACTTGGAGTCTGGATCTTAGGGCGTGGTTCTGGAGGAACCACCTGCAGGGACCTCCCCTTCCCCTGAGGCAGCAGGCTGTTGCCCACGGAGTCCTGCTCTCTGCACCCAGCTATCCTTAGTCACTTGAAACCCTGATATCGTAATGGTTCCTCTGAGCGGTCCCTGCAGGCTTTGGCTCAGCTGGACCCACTGAGGCAACGCATTGGTGCCCTCGGAGATGGCAACTGACCAATAGCTAAAAGATCCATATTAGGATGGAAGCTGTAGGAGGCTGCTGGATGAGGGCCCCATGAGAGAGCTCACTGCACAAAGTTAAAACAGTTTTACTGAGTTATAAATACTGTTGTGTTTATAGGCATCACAGAGATGTGAATATTATTTTTCCCAAACTTTCAAACACAGAATACTTAATAACTATAGAATAACCACCAGTAAAACAAAATCCATTTCAGGGTTGAAAGGCCACTCAAAATTGCATAAAAATACATTCAGTTCACAAAGTGAGCTGGCTTCCCCTCCCTCAATACTCCAGGTGTATTTACAGTGAACTGATTAAACCCACACAGCTCAGCTGAAAAGTTACATCTGGTGCTGTAACTATGGTGGAAGTAAGGTGAGGAGTCCTTTCTGCTCTTTTCACCTCTGTTTGATCAAGGTCAGGGCAGAGGCAAGAATGAAGGGGGAAACCCTAAGGCCAAGAGCCCGGGTCTGAACCGTTCCCTTGGGAACAGGCTGTTGTCTTCTTCCAAGAGACGGATGCAAGGGCAAAACATATTCTCTCCCTGGGAAATCCTGGCCCTCTTTGAAGAGCCAGCCAGGTGGCACCCGACCCTCCATAGGGCTCACCCTCCCAGAGCCCTCTTCTGCCCTGCAGCCTGCCTCCCGGCGTCCTCTTCCTTCCTCAGCCTCTGTACCCGAGGACAAGCTGAAATCTGTTTGAGGGTTCAGGCAAGTGGAAGACCAGCAAGCCCAGAGATTTCAGGTAGGGTCAAGGGTCAAATTCAAGCTGGCACTCGAACTGAACGCATCCTTGTTTGGATCTGTATTCTGATGCCCAGCTCTGCTCTTGGGAGCACATAGAGCCTCTTTGGAGGCTCCCCAGAGGTGGTGCACCTCTTCTGAGTCCTCCTCCTGCCAGGGAGGGATGGGCTGAGCTGCTGTCACAGATGCACTGACACATGGATCCAGCTGTGCTGAGACACACTCTGATGCCTTAAGCTGGAACCAGTTACCCTCTCGGGACAAAGACAGAACAAACTAGACAAAGCTGCCCACAGTCTCAGAAGCCTCAGGCCTGCAAAGCCTACAAGTCACCCCTCATCTTTGAGAGGCATTAGCACAGCAGGGAACTTCAAACTGGAAGGAATGGGATGGAGGTGGTGGATGGTGTATATGTATAAACTCCCCCTGGTTCTCACTGATTCATGGAGAACTTTCTGTAAAGTACCAGAGGGTCCAAGTGAGGAAAGCAAGGAATAAAGAATGTGGAAGGAGAGGAGAGGGAAAGAGAGCACAGTATGCTTATTTTGGAAGGAGATCAGGCACTCTGATATCACCTTAAGGGGCCACCCAAGTAAAATTTTACTGGAAGCATGAAGGGAAAATTTGGAGGAGAAATAACTATCACTCTGGCAGATTCACAGTCTAAAATGATAAGCAGATGAGAACAGCACAGAAGTCTTGGAAGAGGGCAGGAGAGAAAGAAAGGAATTGATAAAACAACAGACTTAGGGAAAATTAGTTTCCAAGTTCTCATTTCTGATCAAGAATGTGCCAGGCTGCATTCAAAACTCCAGGCCAGCACAAGTGCACATGGATGCACACAGACCAGAAGAGTGAGCCTCAACTCTCAAGCCAAGAACGCATCTGTCAGTACTGTGGTCTTGAGATGTTTCTACCTTTTACTGACAGTTCTTCCCCAGCAGGGCTTTCAGACCCCAGCTATAGACCATGCCCCAGTTCAACTCTGACCCTCAGCTGCAGCTCCTAAGGACAAACAAGTGCATCCTCCCTCACCATTCAGTAGCTGGCTGGTTGGCTGATTGTGTGTGTTCTTCCTCAGCTCTCAGAGATACCTCTCCCTTAGTAGCTGTGATGACAATAGTTCCCAGGCTGTAATGAACTGGATCGAGTTTCCCAATCTAATCAGAACATAAGAGATCAATAGCTGTCTCTGATAGGATCTATAGCTCCTGAGAAGTGTCAATGCCCATTAGGAAGTTGATTAAAATCTCTGCTCAGCTGGAGGCTGAGGGATGAAGTCACTGGTGAGACAAATTCATTTCCATGTGCTTTGCCTCTTTCTACTCCACATTCAAAGGTTGGCTGCCTTTTACACACTACAGCATGCAGCCACTTCCATGTCCCAGGTCCCTGCCCTTCTGCTATGCTCACATGCAAACCCGTCGGCTTCTGAGTTTGGTGCTGCCCTGCGCAGCATGGCTGGGTAGCTCATAAATGCTTACTGCTTTGGAAATCTCTGCAGACCTGCTTTAAAGAAAAGACTCTTTGAACAGCACTAGGGCCTCCTACTTCTGATGACTCAGAACCCAGGGGAGTAGCTCCATGGAACTAAAAGCTTAAGTTTTACATAGGAAAGTTCTCTCGCTGTTGCAAGGCAGAGTTCAAGGCCAGGAACCAGCTGGCAATAAGCAGCAATACAATGCAGCCTGCTGTCTCGGTGTTGAGAGCCACAGTAGCTTACCTCTGAGCAGGCCGAGGAACGGCAGCTGTGGAAACCTATGAAGCAGCAGCTCTATTTCCTATTAAAACAATTTGTCTAAAGGCTGCCAGCAACAAATTGCTTTCTATCCATTTCCTCACATGCTCCAATTTCCACCTCTGCAGGTTTTAATATTCTTACCACACCATTACGAGGAAAACAACTGCAAAAGCATTCAATTACCTTCAATATCAAACTCACTTTCCAACAAGGATGAGAAGTCAACCTTGACATGATGTTACAGTTTGAATCCGAAAGAAAACAATTTTTGTTCTTGAACTTAAAAGAAATTTTCTAAAAGAAATTTCTGCTTCAATAATTTCAAGTCTAAGAAATGTTCTGATCTTCCTAAGAATGAGTAAATCACAGAAATTTTAAGCCAGAAGGGATTTTAAAGATTACCTTGCCAAAGGTCACATGGCTAATGGGAGCTGGCCCTGGGACACAGGTGGTCACTCCCTGGGGCTTATCTTCTCACAGTGCCTCACGCTCTGCCCAGAGCTAGTCATACTTTGAGGGTACAAGCCTGCCTCTGCACTGGGGAGGGACTCTGACTGATAAATGTGTTGAGCTAAGTACAGTGTGGGTATGCACGGTGCAGCTCTACGACCCCTGGCAACACTCAGGAGAGAAGGCTCCCACAACTCCAGTGCACCCAGTGGCTCACGTGGTGGGGTGGGACAGGGACTTCCTCCTTCCCTAGCTGCTGGATCTTTACACTTTCCATGCAAAGCAGGCTGCAGGCAGGACAGCTGGTGACACCTTGCAGGGTCCTTTCTTCACCAGTGTGTGCTAATGAGTGCCCACACTGTCAGGAAGCGGCCACAGTTCCTCCAGAAGTGGGGAATGTCTGTGGCTTAGGCAGGTTGTGAGGAGCCAGAAATTAAGAGAGCTAGTAAAGTGCATGGGCTGTGAGTTTCTCTCCCTCATCTAAGGCTCAATTATACATTCCTAGTGGAGAAATGGCCAGCAGTATGCATGCTTTAGTGGAATTCACAGTCTATGAAGCAGCATTTTAACCTCCCTACTTTCTGAGCAAGCTGTTAAATTGGCATGGTTTTTTTTGGGAAGGGGGGGCACAGAGAGAATGGGATCTTCCACAGACACATGAAACCCACCTGTGGCCTCAGAGAGCAGCAAATATATCTAGGTCTCTGTGGGTGAGGAAGGGAAAGAAACCAGGGCAAATCCTGAACAGGGTGGCCCTAGGAAATGTGTTGGCGACCAGCCCAGGATCCTGAATACACTGAGGCTAATGGGACACTTGTACTTCAGGTCCTTTGGCGGTGGCCCCCTCAATGCACCTAACCTTTATACTAGAGTCAGGGATGGGGCTGGGTCATTGCACCCTGGAGCTACGTGGAAGGATGGGCAGTCCCTGGAAGGCAAATCCCAGCCAGAGAATCTCAGGAATGGCCCAATCATTGCTCCCAGAGGTGTGGCAATGGGAACAGGGTATGAAGCTGTCCAAGAATACACTCTTCTCTATTCTGATACTTCCTGTGGAGACTAAAGTGACAGAGAGCCACGCCCACAATGCAGGCCAGCAAGTAGCTACCCCAGGTTAGAGCTGCAGCAGGGTGCTTGAGAGCACTTAAACCACACAGGAAGTCAGTGGCCACTGAGGAGACCAAGCAGGTTACTGGCCAAGCAGCAGAAGCACAGGAGACCGGGGGCGCAGGCACCAGAAAAGAGCTGGTTGCTAGAGGTCTCTAACCATTACCTTGTAGAGCTATCACGCAACATAGTTGTAAAGAAATAATGTTTAATTTGAAGAGACCAGAATTGAAAATGTTATCTAATAAAATTAAGAGTATAAGAGAAAGTGCCTGAAATTACTTAGGATGGTTAATGCTTTTGAGTTCTTAACCTTAGAATCCAGTATTCCTGAGATTAAAAAGCTTGAAAATCTTTTGTCACAAGGAAAATTTCCTGGCAAAAAGCATCTTTATCATGGAAGGGCTGTGTAGGCCAGTAGAGATGTCATGCCAATCTGAAAGTTTTGAAAACCTGCCTCCCATATTTTGAAAGGCACAAAGGGATCTGAGGGACTCTTTGTAACTCTTTTACCTGGTCTACAGAATAGAAAAGGCTCAAAATGTCTTCCTTATAATCCAAATTTCTTTTCCTATGAAAGAGACAATAATGTCTTTACTAATATCCAAGGTATGCCATAAGAATCACTTAGCCAATGCCCTTTTGACTTCCTCTACACAGAGTGAAAGGAATTCTTACAGTAGAAGATGCAGAAATTCTTGTCGTATTCTGCATGTCCTGAGAACTGAGCTTACAGTGCCTCTGTGACGATACAAAGTCCCAAGGTAGGCACAGCTTCTCCTGAAAAATGGGTAACAATGGAAGAGAGAATCTGGATACTCTAAAGCTGGGTTTCTGTCAGATAAGACATGCTTCCCATTTGGAACCTTGGGATCTCGAATGACACCTTCTGTTGAAAGGGTGCTGGATGTTTCCAAGAGTCACAAAGAATGACACTGCTGTTTCAGGAAAGAAACTAACAGAGGTAAGACATGTTAAGGGAATGGACAGACTACTCTCTGCACTGTCACTATTTACACTAAAATGACAGGGCCTTAAATGATCTGTACCCTCAAAATGAACGAAGAGATAAAATTCCTACAAAAGAAGTATTCACATTAACACTGGGTCATCACTGAAAATTAATGGTTTAATTGTGTGCTGTAATTATGGAGACTTCTGTTATGGTCTGGGCATATTTTAAAGCAAGAAGGCCAAGATGTGACAGGCATGGAAAGCATGCCAGGTGAGTAATGATTATAAGGACTGTGAAAAACATGAGCACCAACCACGTGAAAAGGAAAGAATGTCACATGAAGAGCTACAAAGACCGGATGCGGCCTACAGGGAGAATTCACAGGCCGAACTAGGCTGTCGGCAGAAACTCTCTGGGTATGTGTTGCCTAACCCCTGAGTAATAAATGCACGGCCACCAGAGGCTACCTGACAATAGTTAAAGCTGTGATACCACTGGAAAACTGAATTAAGGGATCACTTAGCCTTGCCACTCTAACTTCCACGACTCTGATGGGTTGGAAGTACCTCATCCCTTTAAACCTTTTCCAAGCTGTCGTTTTTTCCTGTTAGTTGTTAAGAAAACAAATGTCTCTGCCCCAAATCTAACCACCTGAAACAATCAAATTCATCACCATTCTCCCGAGCATAATGGGCCGACAGTCTTGTTATATCACGAGTGTCCTCAGATCCTTTACTTTCACTATCTCCCTGTCCTCCCTAGCCCTGTCCTCACTCTGTAGTCCAGCTCCTGACAAGCGGCCCTCTCCACCACCCGGCCCTCTCCACCACCCGGACCTCCTTGCAGTGACTTCATTTCTCAGCAGGAGCAGGTGCCAGAGCAAAGAGGAAACAAGGTCAAAGGGAGGCAAAGGAGAACGGGGATCCACAGCCCAGGTTTTCTAGTACAAAAAATAACCTTGCAGAAAGAAGACAAGTAGGAGAAGGAAACAGGCTGACATTCATACCATGGCTTCGCTTTGCAGGGTCAGGGCTCATGGGGTGTCCCCAAGACACCAGAGTGATGATTGTTTAGCCCCCAGGTTTTCCGTAATGGCTGAGAACAAGTGAGGTCAGATGCTCTCTTCCAGCTTTTACACAATCAAGCGAGCAGGCAGTGTGGAGGAAGAATGAAAGGACAGAAAGGAGAGGCCAGCGTCACATAAGCGCTGGAAAAAGGGCTAGGCATGAAGGAAGAAAAAGGTTCAGGCTAGTCAGGGATGGTGCTACGTTACTGTTAGAAGAAATAAAAATGAGTCAGGGGAAGGATACAGAACCTTGAAGCAGAGTCATGGTCACCTTGGACTCTAAAGAAATGTAGCTCCAGAGTGTCTGGTGATTTGTTCGCTATCCTGTCATTTCTCTTTACTTCCCAGACAGGATCCTAGAGTTGCCAGCACAGGACTCACCTATATCAGAGGATGCTGGGTCAGCGTAAGGCTGTGGGCAGAAGCCTATGGTTTGAACCAAATCCAATACAGACAAAAGCATCAGAAGCTGGGGCCCAAGGCTGAGCTTAGTGTGCTCCACAAGGCCTTCTCCAGACGGCTTGGAACAATCATGCTTCAATTGATACTGTCATAAAACTCAAGATGGGGGTGTGGGAGGAACCGGGCATTCAGAGTACAGAGAAAACTGCAGAGGAGGTGACTGAAGAGGTTCAAGACGAAGCGGCCTTCCACCAAAACATTCATTTCTTTTGGCTGGAAGGCAATGGCTGGATAAAAGAGTAGGGCAGGAAATTCTGTCCCCTCACTCCTCAATGTGGAACCTAATTTATTTGGACAGTTTGCTGATGACTCTGATGAGGGCACCATTTTCATCTTTCAGCCTCTGGTTGTCAGATTTCAGTTCTGTTAACACCTGTAGTGACAGAGGAAAGAGGATGTTAGAGCCTGGAGTGACTGCCTCCTCCCTTTCTCCCAAGGATGACATGCCTTTGAATCTTTCTATTTATTGAGTTGGTAATTAAATGTTTAGGAAGACCACAGCCCTTTATCTTTTGAGTAGCCTATTTAGCAGTACTATTTCTTTTATACAAGTTTTATGTTTCAATACTGCACATTCTTTTATTCCATTGAGTCAGTAGCTATTTTAATTGTCTATGCCCTCACACATACCTGTAGTCTAGAGAAACTGGGAAGAATGCCAAGTAGGTTGGTTAGGACACGGGAAGGAATTCAGAAAGGAGCCAGGGGAAGGGGGTGACCTAAAAGAGTTAAAGGAGGACACTGCTTCATACCCTGTGAAAATAATAGCCTGAGGGGTAGTACTAGGCTTTTCTGCCACCTGTGCACAAGATGATTGAGGGCCCTCCTCCTGGCACTGTCACTGACTAGACTGCACCAAGCTTCTTTTTTTTTTTTTTTTGTCTTTTTCTTTTTTATCGGTACCGGGGATCGAACTCACGACTGTCTGCTTGCAAGGCAGACGCTTATGCCGCTGAGCTAAATCCCCAGCCCCAGCACCAAGCTTCTTGCTGGTCATGCTACACACACCTACTTTCAACTATTAAAGCCCATGGAAGTTACAGATATGATGGTCATGGAGCTGTAAGACACAGTTAGCAATACACATATATTTAATTTCTCTTTAATTGTCCATTGATAACTAAAAACACCAAATGGCCTATAGGCAGTTTTTTGGGGGTGGTATACAATTCCAAGAAACAGACACTTGGAGAGAAGGAGTGAAGATTCAATTCTGTCAGTTCTGCCATCTTGGAATATTACACATAGTGTTATTCAACTTGTGGTACAAAGGAAAAAGCAAGCTCCAGCTTGGATATCCAGCTCTTTGTCATATGATCAGGCGCTCTGGCCAGTACTATGCCATGCATTTGAAAAATTCTAATAGGCTACTGATAAGGGTAGTTTTATGTGTGTGCCTCGTTGGTATCCAGATTTACATTACAGGGTAAGTACACTGTCACCACGAGGGCTCTGGAAACCTACCTCTCTCATCTGCTGAACACAGATGTCCTCTGATTGCTCAGTTATTTAAACTTACACAACCACCACGGCAGGTAATGCCCACAGGGAAGAGTAGCCAGGGCTAGGTTTTAGAGGCTTGCCTGTCTGATTCTAGCTCTTGCCTCTGCCATTAACCACTCAGGGATCTAACTGTATCTTAAGGATTAATACTTGTTCCTTCAGTCTTGCAGTGAAAAGGACTACACAGGTATAGTATATATGAGTATGCACACATCCATCATGGATATATAAAAATCTGTGTCAAGGGAGCAGTAGGGAAAACATTACTGAGTATCAGTAAGAAGGGAGGCACTGTGTACAGGGCTTCACTAGCACTCCATGGCTCTGTCATCAGCTGGTACCCTTTCCTACACATGAAGGAATTAGGGCTTTTGAAATGAGTCCAGGGCAGCCAGCTATTTAAGTGGTACAGCTGATACTGAACCAGGTGTGCTCAACTCCAAAGATCATACTTGCATTACAGGTAGCAGTAGGAGTTGAAACTCATGGCCCAGAAACTGAAATTCCAGCAATGATACTGTCACATCATTAGTAACTTGTGTTACTTTAGGCAAACCACTCAATATCTGCATTTCCAATTCTGTGATCTATAGAACAACAACACCCTTCCTACTCCCTCACTAAGTAGGAACACTGTGGGGCCCACAGGAAGGAGTAGCAGAAGTGTGTTGATGTCTGCTACCGTGTTTGCCATACTGAGTATTTCTACTGCCATTATGAGCTTTCCCAAGCATATAGGAGGGCAGGCAAGTAACCTGCAAACTTCACCAAGAAGACTTTAATCCAGAAAATATCAAAGTAAAATTTTAGTTCTTGACCCTGTTTTCCAAATCAATCAAGGCAGCTCTCTTTCATGCATGCTTCCTACCCCTGCAACCTATTGGAATTGAGTGCTCAGAAACTCATTTAGATGACTTAGGAAAACGTCAGCCCAGGGTGGCCTCATGATCTTTCACCTTGCCATCTCTTTTGTAATACAGACAGTGGGTGCGCAGCCTGGGTGAGACTCTGAAAGCCTTTTTACTATAACAAGACTTCATAGGTGGGAATGGATTCCATCTCACTGCTTAGCAGTTCATCAAATCAAACTGTGTTTTTTTTTAAATTTTTTAATTGTATAAATAACTGGTTGAACTTTCATGATTTCCACATTAAGAACTTTATTCTGGGCTGGGGATGTAGCTCAGCAGCACATTGCCTGCCTGGCAAGCTCCAGGTCATGAGTTTGATCCCTGGTATGCAAAACAAAACAAAACAAAACAAAGAAAACTCTATTTGGGGAAAAAAAATAGGACAAAGCAATTTCACAGATACAACACGTTACAACTGACCTTTTATGGCAGTGTCAGAAAGCAAAAGAAGTGGAATTATAGAAATCAAGAGGGGAAAGGTCTCAAACTTCATTCTCAAAAGAAAGGGGGGAAAGGGGGAAATGAATGTGTTATCTGATACTCGCTTTAAGTTAAAGAATGATTAAAGAAGAAGATATATGGAAGCACTTATACAAATATGAGGTTTAACAAAGCCTTAACAGTTTAACTCCTTGAACATCAGCTTCTTAATTGCTAAATTTCCATCTTACCACAGTTTGATGTTAAGACACCTTGGAAAAGTACCATTAAGCATACATTTTCTCAAATATTGCTTCCTATAGTCTATGACAGGGATGTGTTAAAGAGGCAGGAAGGAAGCATCGAAGGGCACCAGGGCAAGGCTAGCCATCAGAGCCCTCGGCCTCAGAATCAGCCTTGCTGAGCTGCCTTGCTTCCAACTCCATGGAAAGGGAGTCCTCCCTTTTACTTTATCGGCAAAGGAATTAAACTACATGCTGAAGAGGATTTCTCCAGGAGACTATTTAAAAAAGGGGTAAAATCTCTTGGTCGCATTGCCAGTTTGGCTTAGCTGTCCTTCCTTCTGGCAGGGGTCAGCAAGCTTTTCTGGAAAGGGCCAGATAGTACCTATGTCAGGGTCTGCAGAGTCTCTGTTGTAAGTGCTGTGTTCTGCTACTGTAACAAAAAGCAGCCCCAAAGACACAATGATAACACAAAGAGATCAGCTCAACAAAACTTTATTTCTGGACACTGGAATTTAAGTTTCGTATAATTTTCATGTGTCATGAAATATTCTTTGATTTCCTTTCTAACTATTGGTATGGCTTATGGGCCATAGGAATGGGCCATAATCTACTATCCCTACTCTAGAAGTCCACATAACGGGTAAGGGCATTCTTCACAGTGGCAGACTCTTTTGGTAGGAAAATGCTCTTTGGGAAGTTAACCTTCCACAGTCAGAGTGCTGAGGATGCAGAATGCTATCTTTCATCCCTCAGCTGCATTTCTGGGCCAACTATAGCTGTTCAACAGATCCTTCTTGCATTGTTTAGGCCATGTGCTTAACAAACATCTAAAACTCTGTGCCAAATATGCAGGCAGCTTTCAGTCATCTGGGGAAGGACACAGACTCTGGAATCCAACATAGTTAAGTGACTACAACATAGTTGAGCAACTCTACCACTTAATCTCTGAGTGACCCGGGGGAAGTTACTCAATTTGTGACTGTATTTTAAAAATATGTACAATGGTTCTAGGGAATCAACGAGAAAAACATCTAAAGCACTCAGTATGGGCTTTAATAAATGACAAGCAGGTATTATCATGGTCATTAAGCACTGGGAAGATGAGATCTGAATTTTGCCCCCTTTCCTACTGGGACACTAAAAATAACTGGGGCATCTTTGGGGATCTCTACTTTGCTCCATGTCAAAATTTATTTAATTTATTTATTTTTGGTGCTGGGGATGGAATTCAAGGCCCTAATGCATGGTAAGCATGCCCTTTACCCCCAAGTTCCCCCGTTCCCAGGCCCTGTTTCTCGGAATCTTGAGGCTCATTTTAAAGCATCGACTTGGACTAACAGTGGCTGCTCACTGCCAGGCAATGGTAGCACTTCTCTTTCAATTTTCTTTCTGCTTATGATAGCATCTGCAGCAGGACATTAGCTCAGCCCTTATAATTTGAGTGCTTCAGTTCTAGTGGATATTAGTTGTCAGCTACTGACCCTGAAGGCAAAAGCAAATAGGCAGGAAAAAGAACAGGCCCTGGTCAGGGACTAATTAGATTGCTGTTGAAAATTAAAAACTCGTTTCAGAGCAGCGGTGACCCCATCACACTATCTTGGGATGAGAAAATAAGCTGTCTGTGAGCTTGTCTTTCAGATTCACAGCCAGGGGAAGGTAACAGTTTGCCAAACACATTTTTTTGGCTCTCAGCTGAAAATCAATCTATGCTCTCTGCTTCACTGCCTGTCACCTCCTTTGCAGAGTTGGCCTCTGTGGGAAAGGCCTCCCTATATGAGGGTTTCATTTATGTATAGGCTATATTTTATCACGGTGTGCATACACAGGATGGAGAAGGAAATATCCATAGGTTCAGAGATTTGTTACAGATTTGAGACAGAAATGTCTCCCAAGGAAGAAAAAGAAAGGAAAGACTTGCAGAAGGAGGCAAAGTCCTACTCCAACAGTAGAATAGAGGATGATTTTGTTGGTAGCAAAGTGGGGTCAGAACAGGTCTAGCCTTTAGTTCTAGTCCTCTTCACTCAGCAATGCTGTCATATGCAGGAAGTTAGTTCTGTCTGCTATCCAAAAGGCTGTGGTTCTCAACACTGGTTGCACAAAAGAATCAACAAGAGAGCTTTAAAATAATACTGATGGTGGGGCCTTAACTCAAACCACTAATTCTTGGGGCTGGCTCAGGCACTTGTATTAATTCTTAGGGCAGATTCAACTACAATTTGGAATCCAGAACCACCCCAATTGCTACAGGTGTTGTACTTGGTTAATGATGACTGAGAAAGCTCTATCTCAGGTTGACAAAGATCCCACTGAAGAAATATGTATGCATGTATGTACATAGGTACACACACACACACACACACACACACAAACACACACGTATCTTTGTGTAGCTAAGTGAAGAAATGTATATTTAGCAAAAGAGGAGGCAATGTGTTGATCTTATCAAATACACTGCTGGCCCAGGGAAGTCCTCCGCAACCCGGCCTAGGCTATTATGTCCCATTCTATGATCTCAATCTTGGCTCCTTTCATTTCCTGATGGTGGAGTTTTATAAGAACCTGCACACAAAGGCTTGGCTAGAAGGAATGAGCACAGGGTTTCTGGGACCAACAAGAACAGTAAACCTGCCTGGAGTAGTGGAGGAGGAAAGTGAGGTGAAGAGGAAAGGCAAGAACTAGAGCTCCTGGGTGTCCGAGGACTCGATGGACTCCGAGAGTCTGGCCACCACTCGGGTCAGGGCTCTGTTCTCAGCCTGCAGTTGCTCGTTCATCTGCTTCAAGGTTTGAATCTGTTTTAGCTGGTGGAGGTTCTGCAGAGAGTGAGACACGGAGGGGACAGACAGACAAGACAGACAGACAGACAAGACAGACCAGAGGAGAAAAAGTAGGACAAAGATACCATGTGATTTTTTGTTTTTGTTTTTAGTTTGCATGCAAGAAAGGAAATGAGGAAGGCAAGAGTAATGAGAAATTATGCATGGGAGTGGCATGCAATGGAGAAAAGTGCCAGGAAAGAGAGAGCTGTGCCTGTCATTCTTGGGTAAGGGCTAAGTATGCTAAGGGTTGGCCATATAAACACAGCCACTTGGCTCTCAAAAGCACATCGGGACCATTTCTGAGAATGGCAGTCCACCTTCTCAGCCTCAGGACCTTTCTTCACTGTCATCTGGACTGGAGCTGAGGTCTGGAGTGTTCCTAAGTCCAGATGCGGCCTTTCTCTCTCTTCCCCAACCCACTACTCAATCTCCTACTTCCATTTGTTTTCTTTCTGAATTATCTCTTTTATCTTAAAAAATAAAACAAGAAAAAGAGGTTTGTTATTTAAGTATTTTCTGTATATGGCATGTATTCTTTAAAAGGGTGAAGTGACAGATATCAAAGTAATAACTGGACAAGGACAGGACAGCTTTCTAAGCTGCTTTGTTAGGAAGCAGCGTTAATCCTGCCAGTTCTCTTCTTCAATCTAGAGGGCCTGTCTAGGATTCTGGAACTGCTAACCTGCTTCTACTCCACTACATATGATCATACGTACCCTAGATTCACAACTAACTATACTCTCTATATCCTAGTTCACACTGTGGTACTCATAAAGACTCATTCTGAACAGAAGAGGAGAATTTAAGAATGTCTAGCTGTAATAGAGTTGGCAGGACCAACGTTTTAATCCAGCCCAGATAGCTTTCCTAATATTATGTATACCATAAGAGACTTAAAGTCTTTAATAAATGAGATTCTATCACAGTGTGCCTCCTCTGATACATATCTTTCCCAAGTGACCGTCTCACTCTGACACTGAGAACATTAGCTCTTTGGGAAGAAGGAAATGGTTTGTTACCCAGATTGAGTATTGTCAATGAGGGTAGATAATCCTGTGGGTCACCAATCATTGGAGAAAAGTCTCATATGACAAGAAGGATGAAATGAAAGATTAGAGGAACAACAGTTTGGGAGTGGAGCAGTGGGGAAATGAAAGATAGCATGAGTGGAAAAACAGTGAAAAGGTAAAACAAGCAGAGACAAACTGCTGACTAGTTTTTTCCCCGAAGAGGGAGAGTGATCATCTTGAAAAACAGGGAGGGCAGCCCTAGAGTCCCAAGTGGCAATGGAGGGTAAGGACTGGGCAGCCCTCTCCCGACTGTAGGCATCCTGGCCATGAAAGGGACAGATTACGGTGTAGCACAGGGAAAAGTTTACAAAGGACCAAACTTAAGAACCAGTTGAAAGTCCTGGCTCTCACCTTCTCTGATGCTGATACTGAACCAAAACTTTCAACACAATCATTACCATTATATGTAGTGGTCTCTGGCTCCAGAGAATTTCAAGACATGAACTATAAAAGTGACTCAGTCTAACATGTGTGTACAAGCAGACTGAGGTGGAAGAATTTGGAAATTATCAGCATGAAGGAGTGAGTCAAGAATCAATCTGGTGGACTGTTCTCTAGGAAGCAGTCTTGAAAACAAGGCAAGGCAAGAAAATGGGAGGGCAGCAGGGCACAGAGCCAGGACGGGAGGGCAGAGCTCAGGGGCAAGAATGGAGTGATGTTTCCAGAGTAAGCAAGGTAAAACTCCCAGGACCAACCTAAAAAGGGACTGACTGGCTGCTGGGCCCCTCTCATGCAAGGCCCCTGGAAAGGAAGGGGGGAAGGTCTGCTAAGGAGGTAGTGCTGAATGGAGGAAAAGTCATCAGGTCAGATGAGGGCACAGCCCAAGGCCAAGCGCAGGCCTAGCACAGCTCACACTGACATGCACACCTGTCAGAAGCTGGCATATAATGTGACTCCTGCCCAGGACTGGGCAGTTTCTGCAGGGCAGAAAATTTAGAAATACTTACCTTTCCAGGTAAAGGCCAGAAAGGCACAACCCTTCTCACAGCCACAGAGCCCCACACATATCCAGGGGAGCCTATCTCATGGTTCCTCATTTTATCTGCTCTTTGTACTCTTTTATTTTATTTGCCAGAGTCAAACAAACAAACAAACAAAAAAGCTCCACAGTTACTTTTTGTCCTTGAACACCTAGAGTATCTTTAATGGCTCACAGGAAATCAACCTCCCAAGATGATCAGTCCCTGTCAAATGCTCCAGGGAGATATGTGCATCTATATAGACTGAATATGCACAAGCCCAGAGACTAGTGGTCCCAGGCTGTACTGAGTTACAGATTCAGTAAGACAGTTACCTGCACTGTTGGCTGGGTATCTAGCAGAGAGGGGTTCTGGTCACTAATCCCTTTAGTAAAGGTGGTCACCATAAATGATAATCTGCATAAAGAGCTTTAGAGCTAAACATTTTCTTTTACTCTTTTAAAGCCAGTCACACTAAGTTGAGAATATTTTACCTATATTTGAAGTTTTTGTGTTCAAAGAAGGCACAAACATAACAATGGTATGACTGGGAGGTTCTGGTGCTCCTCCCTCAGTCCTCTAAGAGGAGCTGGAGGGTTTGCAAACCTGCCATTAGTTCTAATTTGGGCAAACTGTGTTTAAAGGCTTTCCAGTCTGTAGGCATTTAGTTATGGAGAATAATGGCAGCTGACTGAATGGATGGCACTTTTAACTTTAAAAAATTGCAGAACAGTTTACTTATGGTTTATCGTCATCGGGCTCTAATTCATAATTTTATCAACTGATTTTAAAATTGTTTGCAAATAGCTCCTCACTGCAGAGAGCAAACATTTTCCTGTATTATAATCCCTATTGAAAACAGAAGAGAATAGGCTACTTCAAGTAATCATAGCCTAACGGAGTACAGAGAAAACAGGTAAGCCTGTCTTAACCCAGAGCTGACAGTGACTAGAGCAGGAAAGGCTTCCACACTTGCCATTTCGTATGAGAACAGAGATAACAGACCTCAAGTTCTCTATTTCTGGCTATTTTCCAGATGTGTGTTTGTGTTGTAGGTTGTGTGCTGGGTGTGACACAGAGTTCCACGACTGTGGTAGGTACACACTGGTTTTGGGGTCCTGGGTACTCACTAGAAGCACCAGTTGTGGTCTCACTGACATGCTCCACATCAGAATTCAGGCCCTTTCCTAGTGAGTATCACTGACAGATGCCTAACAGCAGAGTACAGATGGCATAACTCAGGGGGTTCCAAAGATGGAAGAGACCCCATGTAACCGGGAGCTATGGACATGTGTCACTGAGAACTGCCTGGAAATACAAACATGCCACTTCAAGAGGGAGAATACTTCTGCATGGTAAGTGACACGGGTTTTTGTTTTTTTTTTTTTTTTTTTGTCTTTTTCGTTTTTATCGGTACCAGGGATAGAACTCACAACCGCACACTTGCAAGGAAGGTGCTTATGCCGCTGAGCTAAATCCCCAGCCCCCGTGACGCGAGTTTTGAAGAACCAGATGATCGAGAAGTTTAATGGTGCTAGGGCACTGTCCTATTATCTTAGGAAAAACCTTCTCACTGTTTTGAATCAATGCAGAAGATTTGATGTATTTGACATATAAGCAGACATTGCTAGGAATTCCACTGAATATTATCAGTTATAGCCTTGGGATGGTGAGTAGGAAGCACAGGACAGAGCTTGGGATTTCTTCACTTTGGAATTACAAAGAGTAACAAGGTTATGACCACAAGCTCTTGTGAAAACTCTGACCTTGTTAGGTCCCAAAAAGCTTTTTTTTTAGTAAATAGCCAACATTTTGGGCCACTGGAACAATATGTATAGCTTTTAAAGTGTTCCAATTACATATTAGGAATGTTTGCTTCAACAAGGAGACTTGGGATCAGCCTGACACTGTCTGAGGGCCTCTCCTTTCTAGCTAAAGAACTTGTATCTCATCAGGCAAGTGCTTACCAACATCTACCCAGTAAAATAAGATTCCTGAAGAAATAGAAGCTGAGCAAGTGCTAAGTGATTGTGGCCACATGTTATTACCTACTGCAGGGATTGGATACTCCTAAATCACAACTGGGTGGCTCTTTATTCTCCGATGCTCTCTATGTAGCTTTTCTTTTGGGAAGACTGCCAGATCTTAGCATTCAAAACTGCAAAGAATGGCAATGGCACTTGTCTGTTAAAGTGGCTAATGACAGTGAGAGTCACTGCAGGTCATGGTAAGGGGGAGAGGAAAGCAGTGGCCTGAAAGTGAATCTGTCCTGTACCTTCACGAGCTGTTTTAGTGGGGGTACCATGCACACAGGAATATTGCAGGGGAAATGGAGCAGGGCAGGAAATCGATATATGAATAAATTTTCATTCTGCTGCAGAATGACTCAATCTGTGCTCTTTTCTGCAAAGGGCTGAGCTAGGGAGGGGAAATGGGAAGAAAGCCTCTGCCATGCTCAGGCTTCACAGAGCAAACACCTAATAGAGGCTCTGCAGAGCTGGAAAACACGTCCCAGCCTTTTCATCAAACCTCTTGAGGGTGAAGCTATTGTCTAAAAAGCCTTAAAAGTTCAACATGGGTTTGTCTCCAGTATGTCTAGATTTCCCCTGAATCGAAAGTGGCATTTGTTCCTAGCACGTCTGCAAGGTGGCCACAGTAGACAGACTCTAGAAAGCAGTTGAGGAAAGATGCTCATTTCCTCTTCCTTCTTCTGCTCGTTGAGTCTGTAGTGAGATTTTGAGGGGATAGGCCTATACTCAAGGATCCAGTCTTGGCAGGCACTTAGAAAACAGGCATACAAAAAGAAAAAAATCTCTTCATACCTTCATCTCTTCCTCCATTTCCGACATTTTCCGTTCCAAGGCTCGCCTCTCCTGTTTAAGAAACAATAAGCCCTTTGAATATGTAACAGATTTAAGGTAGTCACAGTGCTGCCTCCAGCTGCCCTGTGATCAGCTTCACGGTCAAAGGGTCTCTCTAAAGACTCCAGCAAACCTCACTCAGATGTGGGCACTCTCTGATCCTGCCCCTATGGGGTGGATCTACTTCAGGTATGAAAATCACAGCATTTGAGCTCCCACTAGGAAATTAGGGGACACAGAGGGAGGCAATTTGCTAACAGGCAAATAGACCCAGGCACTCTGAGTTACTCTGCAAGTTGATTTCATGTAATTTTAAATAACTCCAAGTGACTAGGACCTTTGTTTTTTTTTAATTAACAAAAACCCATCATTGCCTTTAGTAGTACTCTCCCCAAATTCCTAGGAAACTGATGGGGAGCAGATGGTGGGTAGAGATGAAGACATTACTGTTTACAAACAGCACCCCTCTCTAGTTATCCCTGCCTCCCTGGGTATTTCTCTCTCTCAGCAACTAACAATTTAGCCTGAACCCACTGAGACGTCCTGGACCAGATGAATTATCAAGGAAGTCTGGCTACAGCCCAAGAGAATGAAATATAAAACTTAGCTGCTTTCCAAATTAAACAGACAATAACAGAAGAGATGGGAACATATTACATCCCTAGGGTCAAATCAAGTTAAGGTTCATCAATAAATCTAATTGAGTTTTTCCAGTCCAAAATGTTAAATCTCAGAAAAATATGCTAAGTACAGTTGGGAGGAGGTCAGCAATTGAACTAGAAATCCTCTTCTCAGTGGCAGAGTAGACAAAAGAGCCTTATGATTCATGCCTCAAGTCACAAGACCTAAATCAATGGCAGAGAGTCCTGGTGAAAGCTTCCTTTCTGTTCAAGGTGACAAGAAAGGCAAAGAGCCCCTGGATGTGTACATACCCACATGTGTATGATTTATAGCAAACCAAAATATATTATGGCTATGTGTATGTTTGCAGTTCTGCCTAAAAGGCAGAACAATGTATGAGATGACCTTCCAAGGACCCTTCCTACTCTAAGCCTGGACTCTGTACAAAATACTATCTGAGGACACCAAAAGACTAGCAGTGAAGTTATTGTCAAGAATCAGACAGAAATAATTTATCATCAAGCTGGGAATGGAATGTGCCAGAACTGCTGCTTTTTTTTTTTTTTTTTTTTTTTTTGGTCTTTTTCCTTTTTACCGGTACCAGGGATCGAACCCACGACTGCCTGCTTGCAAGGCAGGCGCTTATGCCGCTGAGCTAAATCCCCAGCCCCAGAACTGCTGCTTTTAAGATAAAAGTTTTTCCACTGGCGTGAAAAACAAAGAGCAAGTCTGAAAGCTGGGATTAAACAGGAAAAGAAACACACACGTACCCTTTTCTCCATCTCCAGCATTGATGATCGATCAGAGGTCTTCTCCTGTTTCTGCTATGCAAACAGGAAGAAAACCCTTGTTACTTGAGCCATTTCAGGGCTAGGAAAAAGCTCAGTCTTGTTTAGTTTCACCAGTGGTCATCCTGAAATATACAGCAGAGCTCTGAGTCTTCACTCTAGCAGGGGTCCCAGCACGAAGATTCTTATAGATCACTAAGCCCTAAATTATCTCTCTGAAGTTTGTAGGGTTCCCGCTGGGGAGGGGAAGGCAGCAGTAGTATTCACTGTAATTTAAAACCTCACACATTACTCACAAAGATATTACTCACATCACACACACACCTGACACATATAACCTCTGTCTCTGTCTCTCTTGGTCTTCAATGCCAACTATCTCACACTGCAACATCCCTCTTCCCTCTTTCTATGATACTGGAGCGTATGACTTCCTGAATTTGAATGCCTAACCAGTCTTCTAAATAATCCTTTCCCTCCCTCCTTACATTTTGAGTTCTGACCGTTTCCTTTTAGAGCAGTGGTCTTTGCATGTGGGTAGACTTCTTGGGAGCCTCTTCATGGCATCTGCCCTGTTCTGAACAAGCAGTTCTACTTTTACCTGCTTTCTACACTAGGTTTTCACTTAAGGGAAGATTTTATTTGGGATGTATATTTTAGATCACTTTTGATAAAAAAAAAAAAAAAACAACTGAACCCAGGGGTGTATTTCTAGCCCTTTTTATTTTGAGACAGGGTCTTGCTAAGTTGCCCAGGCCGGCCTTGCATATAAAATCTTTCTGTTCTTCTCATACCATCAGCTGGGATTACAGGCATCCACCATCACCTGGCTCACTTATGACTCTCCACTTACAATTTTCAGAAGAGCTAAAAAGATTTGACCACCATCCCTAAAAGGTATAATAATCTCAGGTTGGGAAATGGAAAGGAGCCCTGAGTAACTTGTAGTCTGGGCATTATAGAACTGGGCAATTCAATAGACATTTAATAAATACAAGATTGTAATTCTGCCTAACATTATGCCCAGAAAACATTTAATGAATACAAAAATTATGCTGGTCTTCTGATAGAGTTTGTTTCTCAAAAAATTAAAGAATAGTCAGAACCAACAATAAAACTTGCAATTCTGGCTCCTGTCCTGGGCTTTCACCTACTGTTTAGAAAGTTATGCTGTCTGCCTTGACATTGCATTTACGTGAAGCAGAAAGAAAAGCAAAATGCATCAGTGTATCTTGTAGTTGGCTCATATCATGTCTCTCTTTCCTAAGCCTGAGAAACTGTAGAAGCTGTGATAATTTCACCATCTTCAAAGTTCATGTATACAAAGAACTAGTTTTATTGTTTGCTTTTCTTTGTTTTATTTAAAATTCTAACTCCTGTAGAGTTGGGGTAGACCCTTTATATAAAAACACAATGTGTCCATGTGGTAAATGTCTCCATACAATTGTGTGAAGAAGATAGGCCCGCCCTCCACTATCCTACCAAACAACTCCATTTTTGGTAAATAGAGACTTGGTTTGTATCCCACATTTTTTTCTCAATTTCAATAACTTGGATTTGGCAAATCTAAGTATATTCCGACACACCCAGTGAAGTGCTTGGCTGGAGGGTAAATGCTGTTCCCCAGCGACTAGGAAAGGTTGATTTTGCTTTTAACACCCTCTGCACATACCAGTGTTAGCAGCCTGGTAGGCAGCTTGCTGTTATGAAGCACAGGCTGCTAGAAGGTCAAGAAATAAACTGTCAGAGCTTCTGATGAGGACAGTGTGGAGCAGGTAAAACTGGGTTCTGCTCCTTAAATTCTATAAAACAGATGAGAATCAGTACAAGATCAGTATTTACTGAACTCTGCCAATATGTGGCAGTATTTGGCATGAAAATTAGCCCCAGATATCTTCTGAGGGTTTGCTGTAGCAAATAAGACATTTTGCTGGCTCAGAAATACTAAGGCTTGTTTAGTCCATTCCTGCCTTATAGTAAGGTTATAACTGTGTATGTCTGTATTTTTTCTTTTAGATTTAAAGATCTACTTTTCTTGTTCCACAAAACCACTTTAAACCCAGTTGTTATCTGTAGGTCTCAAAAACCGCCAGTAAGAGCCACGCTTGCCTACTAGGTATCTCCAGGCAGAAGAGGCGGCCTCTCATCCTGATGGTCAGCTCTCAGGAAAGGCCATCTATCTGAGTATGGCTAGATCCTTCTCTAGAAAGTGTAGGTGTCCTGTGTATCTTGCTGGGCTCCTATGCAATTCTGTGGCCTTGTATCTTGTTCATCCCATGCCACAGAGGCTGCACCAAGATGCCTGCAGGGGACTCCACTGCCTATGTCTCCACCAAAACCCTTGTACTCAGGACTACATAAGCCAACATTATAGTCCTGCTTTTGGACTGAATCATATTATCAGATTACCAGCCACCTCTGGTTCTCATTTCACGTCTTCCTCATAAAGAGGTTTTTTTTGTTGTTGTTTCTACCTCAGTTCAACTTTTGAAATTCTTAGTCCCCAGGTATTCCAGCAGGGCAATAACTCAATAGGTTTCCTGTTAACTCTGAAATAACCTGAGATAGCAGTCATTTTAGCTTTCGGCTGCAGGCTCTGTTTCACTGATGATGAGGTCATTACCTTCAGCAGCCTCTGCAGAATCACCTAATTGAGTCAGGCCTGGTGGCAAGAGAAAATGGTTTGCCCTGTTTTTCTGCCCTTAGCTCCTTGCCCAGGCTGAAGGAGGTGACGGCTGAGGGAGACAACATATGCTCCAGGATGGAATCTTTCCTTCAGGACTTAATACTGGGTTCCATCACTACCTCTGCCTCTGAGGTGTTATGGGCCTAATTGCTACCTCTCTGTACCTGGCTGGAGTGTTCTGCTTATCAGTGTCTGAGGGGTGATGTGGAGGAGACTGAAACTGACACATGAAGAGCAAGGAGAAGCTAAGGCGGGCTGGCCTCATCACACTGTTTATACTTGTCTATTAAGAAATGGACAATAATATTATTAGCATTCTGAGCATTAGGTATTGTTCTCTGAACTATCAGTTCTCAACTTTAACACGACTAATGCTAAAATAAAATGAGAATCTAAGAGACTTCCATCTAACTGCCTCTGAAGAAGTCTGATTTTTTTTTTTTTTGGTACCAGCAATCAAACTCATGACCTCATGCTCGCCAGGCAGGCACTTACGCCACTGAGCTAAATCTGACTCTTATCCACAGCCAATCCCTTAGATCCCTGTCCAGTTTGCCTCCTTCCACAACCTTGTCTCTGGCTCTGTTCTTTTTCCTTCTCCTTACCTGGGCCATCTTCTCAAGCTTGGATTTTATGTCTGCTAGCTCTAGCTGAGCCTCCTGAAGCTTTGTTTTCAATTTTTGGTTTTCAGTCAGGGCACTCTCATACAGCTGAGAAGGAAAGCAGAATCAGTCATTAGGCGGGGAACCCCAAATTAGTACTCACACAGTTTCATCCTATGAGGAGGTCCAGGGCTTGCAGCCCTAAATCACAACTGTACACAGGTGAAGTCAAAGGAAGCTGGAACAGGGCACACTCACTCATGCTCTCTTGCTTCTGAAAGGTGATGATACCAGGTGCTGAGCACAAACTTAGAGAATACTAATCTCTGGGAGGAAAAAAAAAAAGATATCTGGGGCTAATTTTCATGCCAAATACTGCCACATATTGGCAGAGTTCAGTAAATACTGATCTTGTACTGATTCTCATCTGTTTTATAGAATTTAAGGAGCAGAACCCTGTTTTACTTGCTCCACACTGTCTTCATCAGAAGCTCTGACAGTTTATTTCTTGACCTTCTAGCAGCCTGTGCTTAAAAATGTGGCTCCCCACAGAAAACAGAAATTTTTGGGGAACCAGCCTAGTATATGAATATTGCTTTTCATTAGTCTCTGCTTACTAAAACCATCAACGAAGAAAAAAATTTCTTTCACCAAAAGTGCTCCTGACGCCATATCCCCAGCACTTGAAGGACAAAGCTTTTAAGGCTCTAGGTAGCAAGAACCAAATAAAACGTGATGTAAATTTTTCTAAGTCTAAGTGATAATGGGATAATGATGATTTAAAAAAAAAAACACCAAGAAGTATTAAGTTGATAATCACAGGACCTTATTTACGTGCATTAAATAAAACAGTCTACCAAATGATTCTCAGGGGCTCAGACAGCAATATAATTTTCATTCTTCTTACAATTTTTTTTTGAGATAGGGTCTCATTTTGCATTTCAGGCTGGCTTTGAACTTGTGATAATCTTCCTGCCTCAGTCTCCCGAGGATGACAGACATGTGCTACCATGCCCAGCACAATTCTTAATTTCTTACTTTCCTTTGTGCCTTTAAATACCCAGTTATAGGGCTATACTTACTGCAATAAAAGCAACATGCAAAGGGGTCTTTATTTAGCTTGAGGCAAAGTGAAGCAAACCAAGATGCCTGCAATGAATCAGTTGTTGCTCCAGTGACTCTTTTCCCTGCTTACTATATATGCTCATTTTTCCATATCAGGAGAGAAAGCAAGAGGTTTACATATTGTAACCCAAGAACAGGAAAACTGAAAAAAAGATCCTACTTTTTTATAATCCCTGTTGCTGTCCTCTTCCACTCGGCTGGTCAGGCTGGCTAGACGAGCCTCCCGGGCCTCCCGACGGGCTCTGGCTGAGGGCCGGTCACTGTAAGAATCGCTGGTTGAAGGGTTACTACCCCCCGATTCCAACCTGTGAGACACAACGTCAGAGGTAAAATCTGATTTTGGTAACAAATACGAATGTGTGTGTGTGCAGATAATGCTTACGGGTAGTGTGTGCCTTTTCTAAGAAGTACTTGATAGCTCTGGCCAGAAACAAGCACAGCATTCCTTCTCTGCTTCTCTCGGCCAGCATTCCCAGATCTCATGGCTGCCATGCACAAGCTTGAAGCTTGATGGGGAGGGAGGCAGTCATTTGCCAAGAATGGAGCTCATTTGAAAAATTGGTGGTTTAGGCTCATGTGCTGACTTAAATCTCAGAGCTTTTCAAATTAGTTCAGGGTTGAACAGCTTCCCTAAAGTGTGTGCTTTTAAAAGCAAAAGTTTCTTGGATCTCAATGGCTCTTGGAAAATGACTACAATGAGCTGTCAGTGAATCAGGAAAAGATGGGCTTGCAAACTGAGCTGGAAGCTGATGGAGGAGGAGGTGGCAACTGGGCACATACCTGTACCCTGACAGTGTGCTACAGGTGTGCACTCCAGTGGTACCCCACAGTGACCGAGCAGTTAGTTTTCCACCCTCTTCTTTGTATTCCTGCGATTGGGGTGTCTACATCTAGCAACTGAGTTGGTGGTAGTTTCATTTCTAGTACTGGTAAATTGATTAGGGAACCTCTTTCTCGATTGATTGTTTAAAGTATACAATCATCACCCCAATCCTTAAACCTGATAGTCTGTGTACAGACCAGTCATACTGGGACAGTTTACAGCAGCACAGCTGTGGGGTTCACACTGCTGTTTCCATAGAAGCTGCTGCCAAAGCCAGGGTGGGTAGATGGGAGCTGAAACAAGTATTAGAAGAGGCAGAGTAGCAACAAAGGGATGAGGGAGGACAGGGAGAGGTGAAGTAATTAGCTCTTGAGGACATCAATGGCTACTTTTCTCTTATAGAGATGCGAAGTCTTGTATCTTTCATAACATTATTTCATTTTGGTTAACAATAATCTCTGTATTGACTTTTACGATTAGAAAGGCAATATATCAAGAAATACTCAAGTGTCTATTCCATAATCTTGCTCCCAAAATAAATAATAATAACAGGTTAGATCATACCCTTGCAGGACATCAAACACAAAAATGTTTTTGTGTTTAAAATACATGTGTTAAAATATACATTGTCCAACTTCTTTTCTTCCTCATACTTAACCACTATGATTATGTGCATCTTATCATGGAAGTAAAAATAAATTTATCACATTTTTAAAAAGTAATTGTACAGCTGATTCTATGGTTGGATGATAATTTAATCTTCAAATGATACACATATTATTTTAAAGTTTTAGTTACTTCAATGAGCAGTCTTGTCTGCTCATTGTTGTAACTGTTACTTTCTTGGGAGGAATTTCAGAAGTGTAACTTTTTGGTCAAATGCTACTTATATTTTGAATGCTGGTATATATATATATATATATATTGCCATACTGCTTTCTGGAGGCTTTATCCTTTCCATTTTTATAATTTTAATATTTTTAAATCATTAAGGAGGTTTAATATCTTTGGTTACTCATCTTGTTTCTGAGTTGCAAATTCATAGCCCTTGTCTAATATGGTAATCATTTTCTTTTTGGTATGCTGGGGAAGCCTCCTACACAGTAGGACTTTTACAACCATCTAATATAGCTTATAAATATTTTTCTTTTTTTTTTTTTAATCGGTACCGGGGATCGAACTCACGACTGCCTGCTTGTAAGGCAGGCGCTGCCGCTGAGCTAAATCCCCAGCCCATAAATATTTTTTATTTCACTTTTTGTCATTGTTCATAGTATCTTATTAGCAAAGATTTAAAATTTTAGGTAAATAAACTTGATACTTTTGCATCACCAAATTTTGCAAAACTGTAATTTTCTGCTAGAAGTAAATCATCCTCAGCTGGTGCCTAGTGAGGGCAAAGAAGAACGCATATAAAAGTTAGCATTTATTAATAAGATAGAACCAGCAAAAATGCCAAGCAAATTATGAAGAGACTCCTTTGCTCATATTATTCCATAACTACAACTTCTCAAACCTTGTCTTAATTTCTCCATCAGAGGAATAGTGGCAAAAGCACGATTCAAACATTCAGCTCCACAGCTGCTATTATTTTTTATTTAATTTTTTCTTCAGGATGATCAGTTTTGTATCCTTCAATACATGGCGAAAAATTACAGAGGATCATCCTCCAAAATGCTACCTTTTCTTAACTTTTCAGTAATTATAAATCAGGCCCTTAATTCATTTGACAAACAGTTACTAAGCACCTTTTAGTTATAAGGTATGATGATGGATTCATTATTAAGGACAGTACCTAACCTCAATCTCAATTCCGGCTTCCACTGTGTAATGAAGCCTTCGTGGAACCATCAGATTAGGGTAACTGTCTCTTCTTTGTGTTCATAATATTGCCCATACTTCTAAATGGCACTTATTACATTCTACTGAACTGCCTCTCCAATGATTCATAAGCTAATTGCAGGTGAAGATAGTGTCTTACTCATGTCGTTTCCCTGGTGCTTAGCATAGTGCCTGGTACTTGGTGCTTTAGGAAAACTGATCTAGTGTAAGTACACAAGGTAAACTGGAAAGAGAATTTGGTGACAAAAAGGCAACTTGAAAACTATCCCTTTCTTTGGGCAGGAAATAACAGAAGTTGGAATTACTGTGGTGGTTGTGGAAATGAAAAGGAAAAAAAGGATGTGAGAAACCTTACTAAACTATTAAATAAAGCTATATTTAATTATACATACATTCATTCACAAATATTAAGCATGCATATAAAACAGGGAAAGTTCTTACCTAGAAAGTCTTTCATGCTAAAGAGAGGAGACAAAAACAAAAACAAAAACAAAAACAAAAAAAAAAAAAAAGAAAGAAAAGAAAACAGCGTTAGCAAGAGACTAATTTTTATTTCCATTTATAAACGAACTTATCAACTCAGATGTCTCAGCTTCATAGCTGGTGATGGGGTACAATTTAAGAAAAGCAATTCAACTGACTTTATAAAAGACTATTTAGCTTTAGTTCATACTTCTTTGTATTCCACGACTCACCATATTTGAGGTTTTGGTGACATGTTTTAAAACTGGAAGCCAGCAAAATGCAAAAATGATTAAAAAAAAAATTAACCCTCTCTTTCCTGCTCCAATGAGCCAGGCAACTTTGTGTTCTACAAATGACTCTCATTGACTGACACTAAGCTTCTCTCAACCTCAATATTCGAGAGTTTCTTTCAGTTCACAATCCCTCATGCTTCTCTGAGTAAATACTGCAATTTACAAATACGACAGTCAGGACAGTGCCTGGCTTTCTCCCAGATCTACAGTGAAGGTGCAAGATGAGGGAGCTGGGGTGAAAGAGGCGAAGTCCCATCCTGGTCCCTAGGATATCAGCAAAACTGAAAAAGGAAGACAGTATTTTGAGGCCTCAGAAGAAAGAAGTTTCATAGATGCAAACTACAAGGTTGGTCACTGTAAACAAACAAAAAGTGGTTATGTTATTTAATCCCTTTTATCCGGCATTGCTTAAAAAAGAATTTAGGCAAGTAATTGATTTGAATGTATGTATTTATTTATTTTTTCCCCCTTTTAACATGTTAAAGAATAACAAAATCTTTGAGGACAAACAACAGGAGAAAAGAAGCAAGGTTCAGTAATCTACAAAGGCATAATAAACCCTTGAACTGCTGAGGAGTTCTGGGATGACACTGCTTTGTCAAAGCCTTGAGCAGTCCCTGTGAAGCCGCTGGTGTGCCAACCTGTACGACAGCCTGGCACATCACACTCTGAAGCTGTCCAGAGGAGGTAGGTAGCTTTCCCTCCTAGTCAAGGGTTACATTCATGAGGATGATTTGGCTTTTTTTTTTTTTTTTTTGGTACCAGGGACTGAACTCACGACCTCGCGTTTGCCAAGCAGGCATTTATACTGCTGAGCTAAATCCCTAGCCCTTCCTACTGTATTTTTAACAAGTGCCCCAAACCATTCATGGAATATCCCTAGTTAAATATCATTGGACTAAACAAATGTTTTGCTTTGTTTTTAAGACAGGGCCTCACGATGTAGTTTAGGCTGGCCTTGAACTCTGCTTATGTAGCCCAGGTTCGCTTTGAACTCACAGCATCTCCTTGCCTCAGTCTCCAGAATGCTGGGATTACAGGTGTGCATCACCACACCCAGCTAAACACACATTTTAAAGTGTGCTCCATTTGGGATGAGGGAATCATTAAAGAAAGAAAACAGTGTGTCTTTAAAATTTGCACACCTTGGAATTCTTTGAGAATACTGAAATTTAGATATCTAGAATTTAAGATAATTCTGAACATTTTTCCTGTCCCTAATTTATACATTTATACTTGATTTCCAATGACAGTGATATACTTACCTCACACTGTGAATGACTATTAACAATTGAAGTTTCTTCCTCTTACTTGAAGTATTTTCTTTAAAAAAAGGAAACTAAATTTTACTCTTCTCTCAAGAATTACTTTCTATATAAAGACGCTTCAGTAGTATTTGAGTAAAACTGAGAAGATGTGCTGTTGGCTGTAATCATACAACACCTCTATTGTAAGATCAGCCTTACAGCATCTGAATGAATTAAAATTCACAGCCCAGGAAAACGGCACCTAGTAACATCTCAAATAGTTGCGAACAACTGAGACTAAACTTCGTACTGGAAAATGACAAAAAGCTGCTGTCTGTGTAAAGCCCTGTGCAGGTGGCATGGAGAAAGAGGCCAACCAGACATAACAGCCAGAAGTATGCTGCGACCATGTCTAGGTGGCTGAGCTGCTCTGAAACAGTAAGGAAAATGTGCAAGTAAGCGCTATGGAGGTAACGGCGGTAGCCCCTGGTTCACATAGAAGGCTTCCAGAAAGAAATTAATCATGATAAGATGACCCTCCCCCTCACACACACACTTGTAGTACTAACAGTAACTGAACCCAGGGTGCTCTGTGACTTTGTTATATCCCCAGCCCTTTTTATTTTTTATTTTAAGATAGGCCTTAAGTTTCCCAGGATAGCTGTGGACCTTGAATTCTCCTGCCTCAACCTCCCGAGTAGCTGGGAATACAAGTGTATGCCACCCAGCCCAGCCACATTTACATTAAAAAAAGAAAAAATATGAACTGGTATGAGGGCTCCCTAAAATGCTTTAGCTGTAATACATCCTTTACCTTACTATCAATTATATCCTTAGTGCCCACAGGGCTGGGACATAATAAATGCTCAATAGAGTAAGCTGAGCTGGATTGTTCAATTTTTTGAGTGTAATGATCTTGGCTGGCTCTGAGTTCTATTTCTGCAATGACATTACCTAGACATGAAACCTTGGGGATGTCTGAGTCTAATGGTAAGAATTAAATATGATAACTATGAGGAAATACTTGTAAGATATCAGCCACTTGTAAGATATTCCTCACTCATAAGATATTCCTGTCTTTTCATTTTCTAGTTTTAAAGGTACTACATTGGTTGTTAATGCTGGTTAGAGTGTTGTTACTTTAGTGCCTTTGATCAAGGAAAATAAGTTCACATGCAACCAAATGAAATAATAATAATATGGGAGATCATTTAATTTCTATCACTGCATCTGTCTGGGAAGAACAGCTTTAACACTTCCTGGCTGGCTTGTACTTGTGGTACATGCATGACTGTCCCATCAAGTGGCTTGTACTACCAGTGGTTCAGAGCCACCTGGAAGTGAGACACATGAATTATGGTGCCGTTGTGAACATGATAAACACATCAATCACACGAAAGAACCATTCTGAACATGAGTACAAAGACTGACTTTTACATTTTCTCTAAGCCTCCCTTGAAAATCTGCTCTTTTTTTCAGCTTCTTCTTTGAAAAAGTCTTGCTGGATAGGATTTAACTAAATGTTCATCTTTAAATTCTGCTATATAGACTTTGGCAGCTGCATTTATAGTAAAGAAACAAGTTGTTTTTCCTTCTAAAACAGCAAAATTAGGAATTTTACTATGCATCAATCTTACCAATAAAATATATCAATGCACACTAACAATGCACAAAAACTATTGATTTTCTCTTATAAGAATGACATGTAATAAACTTTTCATTTAGGATTTTCTAGGAGCATAACGAACTCTTTTTTTTTTTTTTTTGTCTTTTTCCTTTTTATCGGTACCAGGGATCGAACTCACGACTGCCTGCTTGCAAGGCAGGCGCTTATGCCAGAGCTAAATCCCCAGCCCCTTCGTAATAAACTCTTGATGACCTGATACTAAGAAAGTTTTCAGCCAGATATGAAGCTGTACAGTACAGCGTGTATAGTAAAGTTTTACTAAGGAGGTCAATACAAATGCAAACATCTAAGAACTAGGTTAGCACCATTAAGTAGCAACCAGATAAAGCCTACAGGATTCCTGGATAAAAAGGCATATTCCCCCAGGCCTTTCAAGAGGCTTAATTTTCCACAGATGAGAGAATGTGGAGCAAGTTAATGTTCTTGCAGCTGAAATCTGTGACTGTCATACCAGTTCCTGCCCTTACAGGCTTCCGCAGGCTTTCTAGTAGGCAGCCATCTAAGAAGCTGATGAATGACACCCTTATGTCTGCCCACCAGGAATAACTAAAAGCATATATCAGTCTATTGCCATCCTTTTTAGGCATGTTAAGATTTATTGTTATCAGTTTCTTTTTAGGTGACCAGTATGTTTTGCATCTGGATGTTCCCCCAAAGCCTCATGGTGGTCATGGTGGCTGGCAGGCTTTTTGGAGGTGGCTAAACGAGGGTCTGTGATTTAGTTCACTGTCTAGTGTTTGGATTGGTGGTGTGAGTGCTGCACCCGCTCTTAGACAGGTGGCCTGCATATAATATAAGGGAGGGAAGGAGGTTTATTCCTTCCTTTTATGCTTTTGCTACTTTGCATTGCCATGAACTGTTGCCCTTCTGCCATGCCACCCTGCCTTGGAGCCAGCTGATTATGGACTGAAACCTCCATAAACTATGAGGTGAATAAAACTTTCCTCTTTTATTTTGTATGCAGGTTACCCATCTCGGGGTTGATAAAGCACTCACTCTGTCAGTCCCAGCACTAGACAATGAATCGATCACAAACTCTAGATTAAGATGCCTCCGAAAAGCTTGCCTCCATGACCACACGAGGTTTTGGAGGGAAATTCAAACACAGATTATAACAGTGACCTTTTATAAAAATGTGTGGTGATGGATGAGCTGTTAGACAAGGCAACGGACAATTCAAATTCACCCAGATCCCTGTATCAGAGCAAAGACAGCTTCTAAGCTAACCTTTGGGTTTTCCCTACTACCTCAAATACTCCTTTCTAGCTTTTCCTGACTTTTGGAGTCACATGGAATCCTGCTTTACTGTTTTTAATTTAATTTAATTTTTTATTGCCTTCAAAGGCTAAACTTAGCAATGTCAACCCAACTAATTAGAGGAGAATATACACAGTTTACCGGAAAGGTTGGCTGGTTGGCTTGTTGGTTGGCTCCTTCCAGTCCCAGTGGGGGCCCAGGAAGAGAAAAGTCAGATAGTAACTCCCATGAGCCTACCTGCATATGGGCAGAGAATCACCAGCTCCCCACCTCTCCATCCCATAAGCATAAGAGGCTGGTTCAGAGGACAGGCTGGGTTGATAGCAACCGAGGTACAAAAAGCAACTGAATACTTGCATTGTTTGGCTGACTTTGCATGCCTGGGGCTGAGGATAACACTATGCAATATAGCGAACATGGGGGATTTCCTTCTATCTTGTTTTTGAAATCCAATATTGTTCTGTTTCAATTAACTGTTTTGCTTTATTCAATATTCTGTTGTGATTTTG